GAGAGGGCAGGAGAGTGAGGGAGGAGGAAGTGGAGGAGAGGGAGGTGAGTGGAGAGAGAGGGAGGTGGGGGGAGGGAGAGGGAGGTGGGGGGAGACAGAGAGGTTGGGGGAGAGTGCCCTCATCCACATCATTCACTGGTTCATTCCCCCAAAACCCCACAGCACTTGTGGCTGGGTGAGGCTGAAGCTGGGAGCTAGGAACTCAACCCAGGCCTCCTGTGTAGCTAGCAGGACCTTAACTACTTGAGCCATCACTGCTGCCTCTCAGGGTCTACGTTAGCAGGAAGCTGAAGTTTCTCAGAAGCCAGAGCCATCACTTCTTGGCCGCTTGGCTAAGATCAGGTACGGAAACTGGAGCCAGTTGTCTAGCCCAAGCACTTCAGTGTAAGACATTACTCAGACTAAATGCCTGCCCCCAGTCCTCACTTCTGAATGAATTTTTAAAAATCAATTGTTTTGTTTGAAAGGTAGAGTTACAGAGAGAGAAGGAGAGATGGAGGGAGATCTCCTATCCACTGGTTCATTCCCCAAAGGTCCACAACAACCAGGGCTAGGCCAGCCAGCAGCCAGAAGCCAGAAGCCAGGAGCTTCATCCTGTCTCCCAAGTGGGTGGCAGGGGCCCAAGCACTTGGGGCATTTTCTGCTGCTTTCCTAGGAGCCTCAGCAGGGAGCTGGATTGGAAATAGAGCGGCGGGGAATTGAACCAGTGCCCATATGGGATGCTGGTGCTGCAGGCCATCGCTTAACCTGCTGTGCCACAGCATCAGCTCCCTGAATGAATTTAAACTGAGCAACTGGCCATGTTTACTGTAATGCTATTCTTTTCCTTTCTGTATTTTACAGGGTATTGCAGACAGACTGGTGCTCTTAGACCCCTCAGAAGGAACTAAAGGAGGAACAATGGACCTTGACATCTTCAACCTGCCTAATGTGGAGATTAGCAAAGGTTTGGTTATTTTGTTTTAACATGCTTGGCTTATTTGCTCCTGTGTTTGAATTCTAAAATTTTTAAAAAAGATTTATTTATTTGAAAGGCAGAGTTAGAGAGAGAGAGAGAGAGAGAGAGAGAGAGAGAGAGAGAGAGGTCTTCCATCCGCTGGCTCACTCCTCAAATGGCTGCAATGGCTGAAACTGGGCTAATCTGAAGCTAGGAGCCAGGAGCTTCTTCCAGCTTTCCCACATGGGTACAGGGGCCCAAGAACTTGGGCCAGGCCATCTTCTGCTGCTATCCCAGGCACATCAGCAGGGAGCTGGATTGGAAGTGGAGCAGCCGGGACTTGAACCGGTATCCATATGGGATGCCAGAGCTGCAGATGGTAGCCTTACCTGCTATGCTACAGTGCTGGCCCTATAATCTCCCCCCCTTTTTTGTTTTTGAAAGATTTATTTGAAAAACAGAGTTACAGAGAGAGGTAGAGACAGAGAGAAACATCTTCCATTCTCTGGTTCACTTCTCAGACGGCCGCAACGGCCAGAGGTGTGCCAATCTGAAGCCAGGAGCCAGGAGCTTCTTCCGGGTGTGGGTGCAGGGGCCCAAGGACTTGGGCCATCTTCTACTGCTTTCCCAGGCCACAGCAGAGAGCTGAATGGGAAGAGGAGCAGCCAGGAATAGAACCGGTGCCCATACGGGATGCCGGCACTTCAGGCCAGGGCTTTAACCCGCTGCGCCACAGCTCCGGCCCCTAATCTTCCCTCTTAACACTGCTTTTGCTGTGTCCCATAAGTTTTGGTATGTTTTGTTACCTTCATTTGTTTCTAGAAAAAAAATTTTTTTTTTTTGACAGGCAGAGTGGACAGTGAGAGAGAGAGACAGAGAGAAAGGTCTTCCTTTTGCCGTTGGTTCACCCTCCAATGGCCTCCGCGGCCAGCGCACTGAGGCCGGCGCACCACGCTGATCCGACGGCAGGAGCCAGGAGCCAGGTGCTTTTCCTGGTCTCCCATGGGGTGCAGGGCCCAAGCACCTGGGCCATCCTCCACTGCACTCCCTGGCCACAGCAGAGAGCTGGCCTGGAAGAGGGGCAACCGGGACAGAATCCGGCGCCCCAACCGGGACTAGAACCCGGTGTGCCGGCGCCACAAGGCGGAGGATTAGCCTAGTGAGCCACGGCGCCGGCCTTCTAGAAATTTTTTAAAAAATTTCTTCTATGATCCACTGTTCGTTCAGAAGTATATTGTTCAGTCTCCATGTTTGCATATTTTCTAGAGTTTCTTAAGTTGTTAGAGGAGATTCCTTTTTTAACAAAATATTTATTTATTTATTTATTTATTTGAAAGGCAGCATTACAGAGAGGAAGAGGCAGAGAGAGAGAGAGAGAGAGAGAGAGATCTCCATCCACTAGTTCACTTCCCAAATGGCTGGGCAGATCTGAAGCAAGCAGCCAGGAACTTCTTCTGGGTCTCCCATGTGGGTGCAGGGGCCCAAATACTAAGGCCATCTTCCACTTCTTTCCCTGCATTAGCAGGGAGCTGGATCAGAAGTGGAGCAGCTGGTGTGGGGGCTGGCACTGAGGTGTAGCGAGTAAAAGCTCCGCCTGCAGTGCTGGCATCCCATGTCGGCACTGGTTCAAGTCCTGGCTGCTCCACTTCCAATCCAGGTCTCTACTATGGCCTGGGAAAGCAGTAGAAGATGGCCCAAGTGCTTGGGCCCCTGCACCCACGTGGGAGACCAAGAAGAAGCTTGTGGCTCCTGGCTTCGGATTGGTGCAGCTCCAGCCATTGTGGTCATTTGGGGAGTGAACCTGTGTAGGGAAGACCTCTTTGTCTCTCTCTCTCTCTGCCTCTGTAATTCTGCCTTTCCAATAAATAAATAAATATTAAAAAAAGAAGAACCAGAAGAAGTGGGGCAGCCGGAGTTTGAACTGGCACCCATGTGGGATGCCGGCACTGCAGGTGGCAGCTTTACCCGCTACGCCACCACGCCAGCCCCTAGAGAGAGACTCTTTAATGCAGAGACTCTAGAGATAGTGAGGCCACTTAGGACCCAAGGGAATAATTTTCCTATGTTCTCGTTACCCATCAGTAACGATTGCTTCAGATAACTGAAAGGATGGAGTCTTTAGAATAGAAGCATAGTGCATCCTGCTTGCCACTGGGAATTCAGGGGTTAACTGTTGAATATCGAATGAATATACAGCATCTGGGCAACTTTCATGTCCCCTTTATTAATTTTGGTTGTACATTTCTGGAAATTACTACTACATAAAATAATTTTAAATATAACATTATCGTCTCATAAATTTATCTTATGATATGGAGAAGTACATTAATGACTTAGAGAATTAAAGCTCATTTAGAAATCTTAGTAATGCCTCAGCATGACATCCGTAGATGATTGCAACATACTGATCACTATGGAGTGCTACCTTGCCCCATTTGGATTTTTTTTTAAGTCAGAATTACAGAGAAAAGGGGAAACAGAGAGAAAGAGAGATTTGCCATCCGCTGGTTCACTCCCCAGGCAACTGCAAGAGCTAGCCACTGGGCCAGGCCAAAGCTGGGAGGCAGGAGTTTCATATGGGCCTTCCACATGGGTGGCAGGGATCCAGACACTTGGACCATCTTCCACTGCTCTGCCCAGGCCATTAGCAGGGAGCTAGATTAGAAGCGGAGCAGCTGGGACACAAACTGGCACCCCTATAGAATGCCGGTGTCGCTGGTAGCAGCTTTACCTGCTATGCCACTGTGCTAACCCCTTGGATTTTTTGTTTTTAAAAGATTTATTTTATTTATTTTAAAGGCAGAGTTAGAGAGAGAAGGAGAGATCTTCTATTTGCTGGCTTCAGTGTTGAGAGCTAGAGCAGGCCAAAACCAGGAGCCCGGAACTCCATCCAGGTCTTCCTACGTGGGTGGCCAGAGCCCAGGTATTTGGGCCATCTCCACTGCTTTCCCAGGTGTGTTAGCAGGGAGCTATATTGGAAGTGGAGCAGCTCGGACTGGAACCGGCACTCACGTGGGATGCCGGTGTTGCAGGCAACGGCTTAACCCGCTGCACCACAATGCCAGCCCCAAGTATCTAGATCTTAGAAGGTGGAAAGACAAATAAGGCACAGACAATCCCTGTTCTCATAGAGCTCTTAGCATGTTGATAGAGTACAGAATGAAGCAGATATTTCTCAAACACATGGTAAATGCAGTGAGAAACATTCCAGGTGGAAAGAATGTGAAAAAAAAAGCCAATATCAAGAAAATGAGAGAAATATTCTGGGGAATGAATAGAAACGGATTCATCCTGAGCTCAAGGTTTTTTGAGGAGAGCGTTATAAAAATACTGGCTTCTGCGATGGATGTTTAGCCCAGCAGTTAAGAGACTCTCCTGTCAGGCCGGCACTGCGGATCTCTAGGCTAATTCTCCACTTGCGGCGCCAGTACTCTGGGTTCTAGTCCCGGTTGGGGCACTGGTTCTAGTCCCGGTTGCTCCTCTTCCAGTCCAGCTCTCTGCTGTGGCCAGGGAAGGCAGTGGAAGATGGCCCAAGTGCTTGGGCCCTGCACCCGCATGGGAGACCAGGAGGAAGCACCTGGCTCCTGGCTTCGGATCAGCGCAGCGCCAGCTGTAGCAGCCATTTGGGGGGTTAACCAATGGAAAAAGGAAGACCTTTCTCTCTGTCTCTCTCTCTCACTAACTGCCTGTCAAAAAAAAAAAAAAAAAAAAAAAAAAAAAAGACCCTCCTGTCATATCAGGATACCTGGGTTCGATGCCTGGCTCCCACTCCTGAATTAGCTTTCTGCTAATAATAATTTCTGTGGTGAAGGCTCAGGTAATTGGGTCCTTGCCACTCATGTGGGAGATCTGGATTGGCTTCCTCCTGGCTCCTGATTCTGGTTCTGCCCCACCCTCCCCTCTAGTAGTCATTTGGAAAGTGAACCAGCAGATGAGAGTTCTGTTTCTCTGTCTCTGTACTACTCAAATGAATAAATAAATTAGTTAAAAAATATTGGCTTCTAGAGACTGGCATTTGGCCATGTGGTTAAGATGCTAGGTTGGGACCCCTGCATCTTATATCAGAGTGCCTGACTCCTGCCGAGTCCATGCCAATTCTGGCTTCCAGCTAATGTAAACCCTGGGAGGCAGTGTGCAATGTTTTAAGTGGTTGGGTCCCTGCCCCCCATGTGGGAGACAAGATTGGCTTCCTGGCTCCCAATTTTAGTCTGGCCTAGCCCTTGGCCATTGTAGGCATATGGGAGAGTGAATCAGTAGATGGGAACGCTTTATCTTTCTCCCTCTCAAATAATAATAATAATTTTTAAAGATTTATTTATTTGAAAGACAGTGTTACAGAGAGGCAGAGGCAGAGAGAGGTCTTCCATCCGCTGGTTCCCTCCCCAAATGACCACAACAGCCAGAGCTCAGCTGATTGCAATCTGGGAGCCAGGAGCTTCTTCTGGGTCTCCCATGCAGGTGCAGGGGCCCATGCACTTGGGCCATCTGCTGCTGCTTTCCCAGACCATAGCAGAGAGCTGAATTGGAAGTGGAGCAGCTGTGTCTTGAACCAGTTCCCATATGAGATGCCAGCAGTGCAGGCAGTGGCTTTTCCCACTAAGCCACAGCACCAGCCCCTATTAATAATAATTTTTTAAATATTTATTTATTTATTTGAAAGTCAAAATTACAGAGAAGGAGAGGCAGAGAGAGAGAGAGAGGCCTTCCATCCGCTGGTTTACTCTCCAATTGGCTGCAATGGCTGGAGCTGTGCCAATCTGAAGCCAGGAGCTTCTTCCTGGTCTCCCACGTGGGTGCAGGGGCCCAAGGACTTGGGCCATTTTCTACTGAAGTAGCCCCTTGACAGTAGGGACTCCATTTTAGAGTCCTTGAGACTCCAACACCCCCCTCACCGTGAGACTCTGAACTGAAACTATGGTTTCAAATAGTCAAACAATAGCAGTACACTATATCACCCTTGGCAGAGCACAAAAACCCCCTAGCATGATTGCTCAAGCTTACAAGCACAAAAAGTTGCCCCTGGGTTACCTGGGTTCATAATGAAGATGTGATTTGTCTGTGTCTTACCTTAATGTCAAGTCCTAATTGCTAATTGTATGATTGTAACTAGTATTGTCAAGATTATGATAAATATTAATTTCACTTAGGTTTTGGGTTATGTTGACCCCAGTAACCATGTACTCTTTTGATTCTCCCTTGGTCTTAACAATTGTGTATAGCAACCGTGCATAGCAACCATGTATCCCCCCTTCCCGGTTTTGCGGTTTTTGCCTTTATAAACCCTAACCTTTGGTTATTCGGGGCTGCTCTGTTCATGTATGATCAGACAGCCCCAGCATGCTGGATAATCAATAAAACTTCCCCGTGCTGTTTGCATAAGAGACGTGTCTCTTGGTGACGTTTTTCGGGTGGTCGACTCTCACACTACTGCTTTTCCAGGCCAGAGCAGAGAGCTGGATCAGAAGAGGAGCAGCTGGGACTCGAACCAGCACCCATATGGGATGCTGGCACTGCAGGTGGCAGCTTTACCTGCTAAGCCACAGCACCAGTCCCTATTAATAATAATTTTTTTAAAATACTTGATTTTAAGCCCAAAGGAAGAGATTAAAAGACCTTGGAGCTTGATGGGAAAATCATATGGAATAGAAAGCCTTCCTTGTACTTTTTTTAAGACAGAGAGAGGAAGAGACAGAGAAAGAGATCTTCCATGTGCCGTTTCACTCCCCCAAATGGCCACAATATCCAGTGCTGGGACAATCTGAAGTCAGGAGTCAGGAACTCCATCCGGCTCTCCAGTGTGGGTGACAGGGACCTAACTACATTGTCTGTTTTCCATTGCTTTCCTGTGCACATTAGCAGGGAGTTGGATCAGAAGTGGAACAGCCAAGACTCAAACTGGATTCCATATGTGATATTGGCATCACAGGCAGCAGCTTAACCCACTGCACCATAACACTGGCCCCTGTCTTGTGCTTCTGAAAACCATTCAGCTACTACTCTGTTACTCAAAGTCAACCTTGAGAGTGTTTCTTTCTTTCTTTTATTTATTTATTTATTTGACAGGTAGAATTACAGACAGTGAGAGAGAGAGAGAGAGACAGAGAGAAAGGTTTTCCTTCTGTTGGTTCACTCCCCAAATGGCTGCAATGGATGGAGCTGCGCCAATCCGAAGCCAGGAGCCAGGTGCTTCTTCCTGGTCTCCCATGCGGGATGCCAGCACCGCAGGCGGAGGATTAGCCTAGTGCGCCAAGGTGCTGGCCCTGAGAGTTTCTATCATTCAAGGTAGAGGGAGCTAGAGGAAAAAAGGAAATATTGGCAGGCTATGTTGGGGCCAGGTTATAGAATTGTAAACTGAACTGTTGACTAATGTTTACTAACAGGGACAAGCCACCTGAGCTCTCCAGTTGCCAGTTGCCTGATTTGTAAGAGACTATAGTAAGCCAGTGCTTAGGCTAATCCTCCGCCTTGCGGCGCCGGCACACCAGGTTCTAGTCCCGGTCGGGGCGCCAGATTCTGTCCCGGTTGCCCCCCTTCCAGGCCAGCTCTCTGCTATGGCCCGGGAAGGCAGTGGAGGATGGCCCAAGTGCTTGGGCCCTGCACCCCATGGGAGACCAGGAGAAGCACCTGGCTCCTACCATCGGATCAGCGCGGTGCGCTGGTCACAAGCACGCCGGCTGCGGCGCCTATTGGAGGGTGAACCAATGGCAAAGGAAGACCTTTCTTTCTGTCTCTCTCTGTGTGTCCACTCTGCCTGTTAAAAAAAAGAGAGAGAGAGAGAGACTATAGTACTAACTTCCTAAATATAGCGTAATATTTAACAGCACTCTGAAGCCAGATGGCCTGGGTTTGACCTCTGGTTCTTCGACTTTACAGTTCTGTGACTTTGAGGAAATTAATTCACCTCCCAGTGCCTCAGATTCCTCATCTGTGTATGCTAGCATTGCAGGTGGCGGCTTAACCTGCTGCACTGATGTTGGCTGCTCTCTTATTTCTCATCCTGGTAACATCTGGTCACTGTTTTGGCAAGCGCTCACTGTAAAATGTACTGTGTGGTAGAGAGTAAGATAGTTGTGAAATAGCATATGTGAGCTTGAGGGTCAGAGCAGTGAGCTCCATGGACCAGCTTTTCCTAAGTCAGGGGTGGGGAACGTCCAGCCTGCAGGCTGTGTGAGGCCCTTGAAGTCATGTGTTCTGGCCCTGCCAAGGCAACCTCAGGTGAGACTTGCAATTCAATAAATCTATAGCAGGCTAATTTTTCAGTTGATGATTTTGTATGGCCCATGCATGATGTTATAAATATCCAAATAGCCGTTGGCAGAATAAAGGTTCCCCACCCCTGTGACCCTAGTCATAACATTTGCTTCCCTGAAGCGCCCATTGGAACAAGTTACCCATGGATAGTTGGGCTTCAGTGTAATAAAAATCCAGTTAAAACTGAGCCAAAATATTTTAATTTAATGTGGAAGAGAAAAAAAATTTAATCATCAACTAGAGCCGATATCTTGAGCTCAGATTGTTTCTTTTTATTCATCAGATTTGTCTGCCTCTGCTCATTCCAAGGTGGTGATCCTCACAGTGAACTCCTTGGGTAGTTCTCAGTCCTACCTCGATGTGGTGCAAAGCAACGTGGATATGTTCAGAGCTCTTGTGCCAGCTCTGGGGCACTATAGTCAACACAGTGTCCTGCTCGTTGCGTCTCAACCAGGTAAAAGGCTCTGTTTGAAATCAGCATGATTGCCCAGCGCATCAGGAAACCTGCCTTTAATGATAAAAGCCTTAAAACTTTAAATACCTTGGATGGACTCTTCAGTAAAATTGCTCTTATAATGAATAATATTGTATTTCCACATCCTGTCAATTAGTTACTTCTTCCAACTGGCATTAACTACTTGGTTCCAACTTACAGATTTTTATGAAGTGTGGTGTTATGCTTCAGGTTAATAATACCTTCTTCAGGGAGAAAATGGTTAATCCTCCAAGAGAAAATTACAGCGACTTAAGTGAAAGAAAGATACTTTGTTTACTCTGAAGTATCATAAAGTATTAGTGGGTATGCCAGAGTGTATTTTGTATTTTGCAGACCATCTTGGAACTGTTTAACTTTTCCTTTTCTTCAAAAATTTTTATTTGAAAAGCAAAGTGACAGAGAAGGGGCAGGAGGAAAGACAAAGAGAGATCTTCCATCTGCTCGTTTATTCCCTAAAAGGCTGGGCCAGGCCAAAACCAGGAGCCTAGAACAACATCTTGATCTCTCATGTCAGTGACAAGGGCCCAAGCAATCAGGCCATCTTCTGCTGCCTTCCCAGGTCCATTAGCAGGGAGCTGCATTGTAAAAAAGAGCAGTCTGGGTTCATACCCATGTTCATGTGGGATGCTGGCATCATAGATGTCAGTTTAACCTGGTGCACTACAATGCCGGCCTTGGAACTGTTTTACTTCCAAAAATATTTTCAAAGAGTTAGGTGATACTGAACTTAAATTGGTGAGCCTTTTTTTTTTTTTTTTTTTTTTAACGTTTCCACAATAGGGATCCAGTATACATTTCATATGTTTTTCTATAGTAAGCAGTTGGGGGACCTTGTCTTTTTTTTCTTTTTTAAGATTTATTTATTTATTTGAAAGTCAGAGTTACACAGAGAGAAAGAGAGGCAGAGAGAGAGAGAGTCTTCTATCCGCTAGTTCATTCCCCAGGTAGCCACAACGGCCGGAGCTGTGCCTGTCTGAAGCCAGGAGCCAGGAGCTTTTTCCAGGTCTCCCACACAGGTGCAGGGGCCCAAGACTCGGGACATCTTCTTCTGCTTTCCCTGGCCAGAGCAGAGAGCTGGATCAGAAGTGGAGCAGCCGGGACTTGAACCAGCGCGCATATGAGATGCCAGCACTGCTTAAACCGCTGTGCCACAGCGTGGCCCCCAACTTTATTTTTCTAATTCCAGACACCTTTCTGACATGTAAGAGAAAAGTAGTTGTGTTTTATTCTTAATTGCATACTACCTAATGGTAGGATGTGAATCAGTATTTTAATTTGTAGAGAAATTCAGGTTAATATAGATGTAGAACAAAATTTGATCAGTGAAAAGAAATGATTGTTTTCTGGCCTTCTCTACCCAGTTTTTATCCTCATTGCTTAACCATTCTAGGAAGTTACACTTCAGTGTTTTTTTTGTTATACTTCAGTGTTAACAATTTATATTTAACAACAAGGGTATGTAAAATCTTGTTGAAATCTGATTAATGTTTTAATATACATTAAAAAGTCATTCCTCAGTGCATTCAGGACCCAAGAAGGCTATCTAAAAACTCTAATATGCATCACCTATTAAAATACTAAATATTTTGTTTGTTAGCTAAGGTAGAAGTACATTTTTTTTAAAAAAAATCTTTACATTTTAACCTTTTATGCAATATTTAGTGGAAATCATGGCATATGTGACATGGAAACTGAGTGCATTTCCTGCAAATCGAGTGATTGGAATTGGCTGCAATCTGGATTCACAGAGGTTACAGTATATTATTACAAACGTTTTGAAAGCACAGACTTCAGGCAAAGAAGTGTGGGTTATTGGTGAGCAGGGAGAAAACAAAGGTAAGTACTTTTCTGTAGTTCTACTGATAACCTATGTCACCATCCAGATATGTCTGAGAACCCCAGACTTCCGAAGCTTAGTGCTTTTGTTCCATATTTGAGTCTTTAACAGGCTCTGCACTGTGCATAGACTCTTCGTAGGTATCAATCTCATTGTCTTTACTTTTCTATAAGTTTATGTTAGATATTTGGCAAAATCCTCAAGTCAGAGTTTATAGTTTTTTAAATGATTTTCAGAGTCCAAGGTTAAGATAAAAATTCATTTTTCCAGAAACATTTAAACAAAACATAAATATATACACAGCTCTTTCCTTTACTCTGTCCACCCTTCAACCTGGCTCACCTTGCTTAAGTTCAGACCTTTTCCCCATTTCTCACCTTTTTTAACAGAATTTTCACTGTTTATCCTTTCGGCTTTTTTTTAATCAGCCGCTTTCTCTCTCCATTCCACAAAAGCATTTAGTTCCCTGGAAGGGAAAGCCCGTCTTCCCATCTCAAGAAAATGCTCCTTATATGCTTCTCTCGTGCTATAAGTCCAGATTGGCCCCATGATAAACATGCTGCTTACCCTCATTTTGTGTGTTGTTTAGTCACTTTTGAAAGTATATGAGTGTCTACTCACCACTGTATTAGATGCTAATGTGATATAAAAGAGCTTCACACTAATAGAGCACAGTCTCTTTCATGCCACTTTATTTTAGACAAATTTATAAGATATCTTTAAAGGTATTTGATACTATATGATTAGGTGCCAGAATGAGTATACTATCCTTTAACAGCTTAGACATCTATGAGTGAGCATTTAACTTGGGTTGAAATGACTAGAGAACATTCTATAAAGGCCTTTATTGAGCTAGACTTTGGTAGAGTGGATAGGATTTGAATACATGTCGTAGAGTAGGAAAGTCATTCCAGGAAGGGGAAACCAGCAGAGGCACTTAGTTAAGTATGGCATGTTCTTGGGATAAAGAATCTGGGCTAGCTCCTGCAGATAAGCCTGGTTAAAATCACATTTTGGAGATCTTGAATAGCTGACTGATGAGTTGGATTCTCAGACATAGAGGAGCCATGGAAATGATATGTTGAAATAGTAATTTGGGTGGCATTGATCATTACTTCATCATTTGAGACCCATTATGATTGCTTTATTAAGCACATAGGTGCTGTGGGGTAGCACATGCTGTAGCAAATGACCCTCTGCCTGTGAAGAGTTTAATAGAAGAATTGGAGGAGACCATGCATATTAAAAAGTCAAATAGATGTAAAACTATAGTTTCATGAAGCAAATCATAAACAAACAAAATATTTTTTAAAAGATTTATTTTATTTATTTGAAAGACAAAGTTACAGAGAGTGAGGTAGAGACAGAGAGGTCTTCCATCTGCTGGTTCACACCCCAAATGGCCACAACAGCCAGAGCTGGGCCTACCCAAAGTCAGGAACCAGGAGCCAGGAGCTTCTTCCAGGTCTCCTACATGGGTTCAGGGGCCCAAGGACTCAGGCCATCTTGTACTGCTTTCCCAGGCCCTAGCAGAGAGCTGGATTGGAAGAGGAGCAGCCAGGACTAGAACCAGGACCCATATGGGAATGCTGGTGCCTCAGGCCAGGGCTTTAACTCGCTGTGCCACAGCACAGGCCGCTAAACAAACAAAATATTAACAGTGGTGACATCTGAGTTAGAAGTAACTGAAGGGGGTGAACCAATGGTAAAGGAAGACCTTTCTGTTTCTCCCTCTCACTGTAACTCTCCCAAAATAAATAAATAAAAATATTTATATAAAAAGTAGACATACTTTATGATTGACTTTTTGTATTATTTTAATGTGAATGTACAACTTTTTCAATTAAAAGGATAACTTCATAATTTACAGTTTAGGGGTCAGCATTGCGGCACATCAGGTAAAGCCACTGCCTGCAATGCTGGCGCCGCAGCTCAATAGGCTAATCCTCCACCTAGCGGCGCCAGTACCCCGGGTTCTAGTCCCAGTCTGGGCGCCGGATTCTGTCCCGGCTGCCCCTCTTCCAGTCCAGCTCTCTGCTGTGGCCCGGGAGTGCAGTGGAGGATGGCCCAGGTCCTTGGGCCCTGCACCCACATGGGAGACCAGGAGAAGCAGCTGGCTCCTGGCTTTGGATCAGCGTGGTGGGCTGGCCTCAGTGCACTGGCTGTGGCGGTGGGTGAACCAACAGTAAAGGAAGACCTTTCTCTCTGTCTCTCTGTCTCTCACTGTCCACTCTGCCTGTCAAAATAAAATAATAAATTAAGAAAAAAAAAAAAAGAAGTAACTTAAGGGGCCAACGCCATGGCTCACTTGGTTAATCCTCTGCCTGCGGCGCCAGCATCCCATATGGGCGACAGTTCTAGTCCCAGTTGCTCCTCTTCCAATCCAGCTCTCTGCTGTGGCCCGGGAGGCCCGGGCAGTGGAAGATGGCCCAAGTGCTTGGGCCCCTGCCACCCGCATGGGAGACCAGGAAGAAGCACCTGGCTCCTGGCGTCAGATTGGTGCAGCACCAGCTGTAGTGGCCATTTAGGGAGTGAACCAATGGAAGGAAGACCTTTCTCTCTGTCTCTCTCTCTCTCACTGTCTATAACTCTACCTGTCAAATAAATAAAAAAAAATAAAAAAAGAAGTAACTTAAAACTATGTGCTTCTTGTATTTTCTAATTTGGTATTATGTAGCACTTATATAATTTTTAATAAACAATTTTAATAAAACATACCAACATTTTAAATCTGTGTAAATCTGTTCTGGCTTTATAGAAGTTCAGTGCTAAAATGAGTCAGGCTGCAGAATAAAGCCTTAAAAACCTGACAGTGTGATTGAGCTGAAATACTTTCCAGGCTCCAAATGCTCTGTGACACTAGACACTAATCAACAGCACCCTAGAAAAGTGTACTCAACAAGAACTTGGCACAGATGTGTTAAGGTAAGGAATGTCTAAGGAAGCAAATAAACCCAAGATGCTGAATTTTCATCACCACTATCGTTTGAGTTCTGGTCCGTGTTGCTATCTTGTCTTGTCTTGCGTATCTCCCGCCCTCCCCTCTACTGGAGTGAAATAAATGATATTACCCAAAATTTACATAATGTTTACTCTATGCCCTTACATATTAATTCTATTTTCCTAAAACATTCTTCTCTTTGGAAACTTTCAGAGGCTTCCATTGAGCAAATCATCAAATTCCTTTGCTTGGCAGTTAGGTGAAGCCAAACTGTAGCCCTGATCTTTCCTAATTATAGTTATGAGATAGCCGTGTTATTATAGAGCTGGAAGAGATCTAAGAAGTCATCTATCACATTTTGGTGTATGTAACCAGCAATGAATGCAGGGATGGTAAGAATGACTCGCCCAGGAGCTTATAGCTTTTAGGGTCAAAGAACCCATAGGTCCATGTCTTGTGCCTCTCGGGCCCACCCGACAGCTTTGCTTCTGCCATACACTACATTTACCTTCCCTGGAATCTCTTACTCCTGTCTGCCAGCATTTTCAAATATCCTGCAAGATCTAAGTCAAGCCCCCTTTACACTGTGAAGGTTATTCTGATCATATTACTTAACAGCAGGGATGGGGAACATCTGGCATGGGCCATATAAGGCCTGAAAAGTTATTTGGTCTGGCCCTGCCAAGGCAACCACAGGCAGGACTCAAAATTCAATAAATCTATAGCAGGCTAACTCTTTTTTTTTTTTTTTTTAAGATCTGTTTATTTGAAAATCAGAATTACACAGAGAGAGGAGAGGCAGAGCGAGAGAGAGAGAGAGGTCTTCCATTTGCTGGTTTACTCTCTACTTGGCCACAAAGGCTGGAGCTGAGCTGATCTGGAGCCAGGAGCCAGGAGCTTCTTCCAGGTCTCCCGTGTGTGTGCAGGGAACCAAGGACCTGGGCCATCCTCTACTGCTTTCCCAGGCCATAGTAGAGAGCTGTATCTGAAGTGGAGCAGCCAGGACTTGAACTGGCTGGTGCCCATATGGGATGCAGGTACTGCGGGCAGCAGTTTTACCTGCTACGCCACAGCGCCGGCCCCCCAGGCTAACTCTTAAGTAGATCATTTTGTATGGCTGGCTAATGATATAAATATCCAGATGGAAAAAAGGTTCCCCATCCCTGCTTTACAGCGATTTCTTAATCCCTTCAGCTAAACGCTACTGCAGTCTGTATGGCAATTAACCTTGTATTATCTCATGATATTTCTTCTTTGTTGTACTGCTATTTGTTACCCAGTAATTTTTGTGTTTGTACCTTATATAAACTGTAAATTTTTTTGTTTATTGAAAGTCAGAGTTACGTAGACACAGAGAGAGAAAGAGAGATAATCTTCCATTTGTTGTTTCACTCCCCATATGGCTACAATGGTCAGGGCTGGACCAGGCCAAAGCCAGGAACTAAGAGCTTCATCTGGGTCTCCATGTGGGTGGCAGGGGCCCAACTACTTGGGCCATCTTCCGCTGCTTTCACAAGACATTAGCAAGGAGCTGGATTGGAAGTGGGACAGCCAGGACATGCACTGGTACCCATATAGGAAGCTGGCATTGCAGGCAGTGGCTTTACCTGCTGTGCCGCAATGCTGACCCCTAAACTGTAAATTATGAAGTTATCCTTTTAATTGAAAAAGTTGTACATTCACATTAAAATAATACAAAAAGTCAATCATAAAGTATGTCTACTTTTTATATAAATATTTTTATTTATTTATTTTGGGAGAGTTACAGTGAGAGGGAGAGACAGAGAGAAAGGTCTTCCATACGTATGCTGGTTCACTCCCCAAATGGCCGCAATGGCTGGAGCTGAGCTGATCCGAAGCCAGGAGCCAGGAGCTTCTTCCAGGTCTCCCATGCAGGTGTAGGGTCCCAAGCACTTTGGCAGTCTTCTATTGCTTTCCCAGGCCATAGCAGAGAGCTGGATCAGAAGAGGAGCAGCTGGGACTCGAACCAGCAGCCATATGTAATACCAGCACCACAGGTAGAGGATTAACCTGTACCACAGCGCTAGCCCTTCTACCTTTTTTTTTTTTTAAAAAAAAAGGTTTATTTATTCATTTATGTATTTGAAAGGCTGAATTACAGAAAGAGGGAGAGAGAGAAAGAGAAAGAGAACTTCCATACTTTGGTTCACTCCCCAAATGGACACAGTGGCCAGTGCTGGGCCAGACCAAAGCCAGGAGCTAGAAGCTTCTTCTAGGTCTCCCAATGTGGGTACATGGGCCCAAGTACTTGGGCCATCTTCTACTGCTTTCCCAAGCACATTAGCGGGGAGCTGGATCAAAAATGGAGTACTTGGGAGCCCATGTGGGATGTTGGCGTTGCAGGCAGCAAATGAACCTGCGGTTCCTCAATGCTGGCCCCAAATCTACATGGTGTGCCACATACTTGGTCCCTTTCCCTAAGGGATCACAGTTACATAATGTTCCAAAGTATTCTATACATAGATATAACCTAAAATAGACATCATACATCATTCTCCAGCTTGCCCTTTTACTTGTTGACATGACTTAGAAATGATTGGCTAATAACATATATAGATCAAATTCTTTCTTTTTAACTACAGGAGATCCTATAATTTATTTAAGCTATCTCCATAATAAATTGCAATTTTTGAGGAATAGTTTATGTGTAATATTGAGTAAATAAGAGCATTTCAAGATATGGTTTTATATCTCACATTGTAAAGAGAAAGCAAAAGATGATGTGACTTGATAAATACGTCCTCTGCCTTAACCTAATCTATCAGTGGGAAGAAAAAAAAATAGAACTTGTGAGCTTTTCAAACCCTACCAAAATTCTGTTCATGTTTGGTTAAATTACTTTTTTTTCTCAAATATAGGGATTTATTTTCAGAGACATTTATTGAGCACCTGCTTTGCCTGAAGCACTGTGCTGATTGCTGTTAGAACCAACTATGCAGGTGTGTGGTTTTTAGGAAGCATGAAGTCTAATACAGGAAATGGCCAGAAGGCAGAATGGACTTGCTGCAAGACAGGTGTAGGGGAAGTAGGATCAAAGCACAGGGAAGGAATGTGATAATTCTGTTTTGTGCTCCCAAATGGGAACCACAGATAGTGGGATGTAGGTACGTGTGAATTGAGATCACCTAAATAAAATAGTTTATGAAATATTTGACACACACAATATATATAGAAATTGTAAAGCATAATAATAGAACAAACGCTCATAGATCCCCACTTAATCAGGAACATTACGAATACCACTGAAGCCACCTGTGTACTTCTCCCCGGTTTGTCTGCCATCTAGAGGAACCATCACATGCCTTACCTTGGTCTTGAAATCAGAAATGGATTAGAGGCTCCCCCTGCTGGCTTCTTGTGTTGACACCAATTAGTTATATTTGCATGACACCATCACAATAATAGCAATTATAATTATTTTTATTGAGTGCTTGCTGTGAGTATTAAATGCCTCATATGTCTCAATTGAATTTTAAAAACAACCTGTGAAGGTGGTGGTTTTCCAGATTTATAGAGGAGGAAGCTTGAGCTTGAATGAGGTTAAATAATTTATCCAAGTTTACATATCTAGTATGCACAGTGCTTTTTCTTATATAATGTATCTAAAGCATTTAGTACATTGTCTGGCTGAGAGTAAACACTTAGCAAATGGCAGCTATTATTACAGTGACTGGCGAGACAGTGATGAGTAGAAAATTGGCAAAAGGACATATAAAACTACACTCTGAAGTAAAGCAACTTGGGATTTGGAAACATTTATAATAGCAGCTGTGGAAGTAAAATTAGTCTCTTCAGTATTTCAGAGACAAATGACAGTGACAGCCTGGGGAGGAATCACATGGTACAAGACCTTTAGGATCTGTTTCCTGCTTCCCTCCCCAGTTCCATCTTCTGCCATTCTGCTCTCACTCTATGCCAGTCAGATGGCCAGCCTTCCCGGATGGCACACAGTGTGCCTCCTTGCTTGTGCGCCCCTGCTTCCTTTCCCTGAATACTCATTCACTTAGCAAACTCTTCTCACCCTGAGTCCCACCTCTCCCATGAAGCCTTCTGTAATTTTCCAGACTAATAAGTTCATCTATTTTAATCATTAGTACATGGTCATATTTATGCCTGTTACATTATTACACAATGTTCTAATTACCTAGCTGTTCATCTCACCCGGGTGTTAGCTTCTTGAGCTTGCAGTAGCTTTAGTAAGTGTGTTTTGGAATGAACAAGTGATCTTGATACCACCTTTTTGTAACCAAATGTTATTTATTTGTACTACGCTAGATTAGATGCTAGCAGAACATATGTTTGGGAGGTGCTATTTTTATTTTTTATAGAAAGCTTTTATTTAATAAATATAATTTTTATTTAATAAATATAAATTTCTTAAGTACAATTTTTGGATTATAGCAGTTCTTCCCCCATACCTGCCCTCCCATCCACAAACCATCCCACCTCCTACTCCCTCTCCCATCCCATTCTTCATGAAGATTCATTTTCAATTATCTTTATATACAGAAGATCAACTCTATACTAAGTAGGGAGGTGCTATTTTTACCTGCAACATTTAAATCATATATAAACTGCAAATAACTCAAATGATGTTTAAATTTTTTTTAAAGATTTACTTATTTACTTGAAAGTCAGAGTTAACACAGAGAGAGGAGAGGCAGAGAGAGACAGAGACAGAGGTCTTCCATCCGCTGGTTCATGCCCCAAATGGCCACAGTGGCCGGAGCTGTGCCAATCTGAAGCCAGGAGCCAGGAGCTTCTTCTGAGTCTCCCATGTAGGTGCAGGAGCCCAAGGACTTGGGCCATCTTCCATTGCTTTCCCAGGCCGTAGCAGAGAGTTGGATCAGAAGTGGAGCAGCTGGGACACGAACAGGTGCCCATATGGGATGCCGGCACTGCAGGTGGCAGGTTTACCCACTGCGCCACAGCTCCAGCCCCTCAAGTGACGTTTTAGAAATCCAAGGACTGGACTTCAGAAGACAGGGTTAGATCATCTACTTTGAGCGCAGGGGTGAGTGCTCTAAATAATGGAAAAGAACTTCCCTCTGGACATTTTTCATTAATTTTTTAAAGATTTATTTATTTATTTATTTGAAAGTCGGAGTTACACAGAGAGAGGAGAGGCAGAAAGAGAGAGAGAGAGAGGTCTTCCATCCGCTGTTTTACTCCCCAATTGGCTGCAATGGCCAGAGCTGTGCTGATCCGAAACCAGGAGCCAGGAGTTTCCTTTGGGTCTTTTCCATGTGAGTGCAGGGTCCCAAGGACTTACTTATTGTGAATATGCCAGTAATTTAATAAACGTTTTAATAATCCATGTAAAACCCTTCTATCTGAGTAAAATATTTTTAATTCCTTAATCTGTCCACATGTATTTATATTTTTTCATATAACAACTTTTTTTTACTTATATAAAAACTTTCAAAACTTTTCCATGTTTTTCAACTTAACTATTGTAAGAATGTTTTCCTCTTTACTACCAAATAGAATTATGGATTAGTTCTCTGTTACGTGTTAGTTCTCTGTTGTCTTCTGAGTACCCAACACCTTGGTAACTAATAAGCACGAGGGGACTCGGAAGACTACATGGTCCCTTCCCTCTAGAAGCTTATGCTCAGGGTAAGGAAGAGAAGCCTGTGGGTGCATGCAGGGTCCCTGGTTGCTAACACATCACTGAGTGGCCTAATTTCAAATGCAGTTTAAATATTCTTATATAGCCAAATGTATTTTTGGTTTTTCTTAAGAAAATACAGATTTGTACCCAAAACTGCCTTCACCCAGATGAGACACAGGTGAATACTGAAATGTCTTCAAAATATTACTGGCAATTTCAATTTAATATTGAAGTGGATAGAAATACCAGAGGGGTGTGTGTGTGTGTGTGTGTGTGTGTGTATGACTTTGTATACGTTGTTTCTACAGATGGTATAGTAAGAGGAAATCGGTAACCCACAGAATGCTCTTAGGAAACAGGATCCTGTCTCTCTAACAGCTGTGGAAATTCTAATAGAATAGAAATTACTATCTTCCAAAATAGAAGGCCACCAGATTATTCCTCACCCAGTGGGAGAAATGGGTCCTGTTGCAGTCCCCAGCAGAACAGACGCCAAGAGCTTGCAGCACGTGAAAGCCTATTCTATGTATTCTATGGAGCCTGCTGTGGAAAGAAAGCTTGCTACTGGCACAGCAAAGTGGCCCTTGTAGAGCTGTTATTGATGAGCAGGAACAGGGCAAGAGGCTACAAGTAGACGTCAGGGATCACGTGTTTGGGGAATTGTGGTTTAGACTTTATTCATCCCAGGCAAGTAGTACAGCACATTCGGTGCCATCAGTGGGGGGATAAACAAAAACTGTTGATAAAAGGAAGGGACACTTCTATATAAGGATTAATAATGGTACCCATGGCTGCAAAAGATCATTTGTGATACCTTAATCCTAAGAGAGTTGTCGGCAAAAATATAATTCTTCCTTTAATTTTTAGTGCCCATGTGGAGTGGCCAAGAAGTAATGAGTCCTAACTCTCAGGTGCAACTGTCCAACAGGTAACACTGAGTATAAACTTGCACTTCTAACCAATAGCCTGTACTTCATAGCTAAAATAACAGCTATTTATGCAGCTGTACTCACCAGGCTTCTGTAAACAAAACTAGCTTACCAAGGAGTCGTGCTTTATATTCTCAGATTTCTTATCTGAAGGCCGAATCTAAGAGTGCTCTGCAGACTGTTGTAGATAGCACTGTTGACCTTTAAAGAGTAGAGCAGGGCCCTTATTTGTAGATTGTGACTTCTTGCTCCCATATCTAGACATCTGCGGATATCAACAGTTTTCTTAAAATGGAAGAGAATTTGCCATACTGCCTAAAAATGAATATGTATTAATTACACATAAATAATTTTGGAAATCGGTCTAAATGGATAAGACATACAGTGCAGATCCTTGTATCTTTTCCATTATTTGGAGGCCTTCCAGGAGTTTGCACCCCACAGGTTGGATGCTGCATACTCTGTGTTTTCATGCCATTTATCACTTCGTCATCACATAGATTTTTCCTGAAATCTGGTGGTGGTGATTTTTAGCTTTCTAAACCTTCAGCTTATGATTTTAGAATATAACAAGTGGAAAGAATGTTCTCTTACTGAGTAGTATGTGATATATGTAGTTCATTTTAATCTGATTATGACATTTAGTTTTTAAAAGGAATACATTTAAATATTTTTGTACCTTTTTGATTATTTACAAAAAGAATGTATACTTATGAAATTTCAAATACTGAAATATCTATAAAGTGGAAAGGAAAAAGCTTGTGTAATTCCATCTTCCAGAGATAATCACCGGTAGCAGTTTAGTGTCTACATGTCCAAAACTTTTTTCAGTGCTTCTATAAACATATTACCATTTTTTATTATTTTTACAATATACTTATGGCTGTTCATACCATGTTGCAGCTTGAGTCATTTCCTTTATGGTAAATGTTGATTGTCTTTCCATATTGTACAGGTAAATCTACCTTTTTCTTTTTAAGAGCTATGTAATATTACATTTGGTAGTGATTTATTTAACCAGGCCTCTTTTGCTGAGTTGTTTCCAAATAGAGTAGACGTGCTCTTTTTTTTTTTTTTTTTTTTTGACAGGCAAAGTAGACAGTGAGAGAGAGACAGACAGAAAGGTCTTCCTTTTGCCGTTGGTTCACTCTCCAATGGCCGCCGCGGCAGGCGCGACATGGCTGGCGCATCGCACTGATCTGAAGCCAGGAGCCAGGTGCTTCTCCTGGTCTCCCATGCAGGTGCAGAGCCCAAGGACTTGGGCCATCCTTCACTGCACTCCCGGGCCATAGCAGAGAGCTGGCCTGGAAGAGGGGCAACCGGGACAGAATCCGGCGCCCCAACCAGGACTAGAACCCGGTGTGCCAGCGCCGCAAGGCGGAGGATTAGCCTATTGAGCCACAGCGCCGGCCTAGACATGCTTTTGTGTGTTTGTTTGCACATTTGAGCCTGCCACTGTAAGATAAATGCATAGAAGGGGAATTTCTAGATCAGATGTTGCCAGATTTTCCTAAGAGGTTAGATTAGTCTACAGTCTCAATAACAATTATGGGACTGCCTGCTTATACCTTCTCCAAAATTAGTTACTAGTCCTTTTAATTTTCAGCAGTTTTGATAAATAAAACTGGTATTTATAGTTTTAATTCATATTTAGTTAAATATTGATGGCTGTGAGCATCTTTTTATGTTATCAGGCCACGTATAGTTTCTCCCTGTGAACTGCCTAACATCTTAAGAAAAACTTAAGTAATCATTAGACTATTTACAAGCTTTACTAACAAATACTGTATAACTCTTTTCTGTATCAGAAAAGCATCTAGTTAATACCTTAAACAGAACTAAGTGTGCATATTTTGTGCATTTTCTGAGGTTTTTGTTTTGTTTTGTTTTGTTTTGGTAACCTAGAGCCATGGAACTCTTAAGGGTGAAAGGTCAAAGATCCTGGTCTGTGGGACTGTCAGTGGCTGACCTGGTTGATAGTATTGTAAGGGATAAAAAGAAAGTGCATTCTGTATCAATTTTGGCAAAGGTAATTGCTATTCTCATTTTCTACTCATATTTTAAACTTTCATGTGAATAATATAAAAGGAGTAAAAGTGTTCACTCTAACCCAGGTGTTTTCAATGTCACCAGCTTTTATGGTAACATGTGAAAGGGTTCAGTTTCATCTAAACCCTATCCTGCTTAGTTATGCAAATCTGGACTTCTGGCTTCTACCAAGTTGCCCCCTCACCCACATGTAATTTAGGGAAATCCCCAAGAAGTGTTTGTACATTCCTTAAACTTCTTCCCATGGTCATTTATCACTCAGCCAGCCAGATCACCCCAGCATGACGTACCACCCGGCCTCAGCTGGTCATCAGCCTGCCTCTCCACTTTACTCAAAGTGTAAAATCTCTGAAATATAGCTAAGATGCACCACGGGAAGGAAAACTTAGAGGTTACTGTTTTGGCACACAGAGCCCATGACATGCCCCTCCCCAAGGAATCCACTCTGTCTCTTAGCCCCCAACCTGCTCCCTGTGTTGCAAGGGGCAAGCCTACTTTCCCACAAAGGAGGTGTCTTTGACCAAGATCCTCCTCTCAAAAATTTTCTGAAACAATGACTTGAGTTTAGAAAATAAATGAATACATGCAAAAAAAATTTTAAGTTCAACTTTTATATCACTTTGTACTAGGACTAGAAAAACAAAATATGCATTTTTATATTATTAACTTTTTTGGAGTAATCCAGCTGTGTATTTGTGTTTTTTCATTTCAGGGATATTATAATATAAATAATGATGTATTTTTAAGTTTGCCCTGCACCCTTGGAACCAATGGAGTATCTGAAGTCATTAAAACCACAATGACAGAAGACATGGTGACTGAAAAACTCAGGAACAGCGCGTCTTCAATCCATGATCTCCAACAACAGTTAAAATTTTGATTCTCAAGTGCTGTTAACTGTAAGGGAAGCCCATGTAATTTTGCTAACACATTGACAACAGGTTTGAGAACATGTGTATCTCACCACTTATCCTTACAAACTGCTTGGTTAAGGTAGACGGTTTTTTGAATAGCTTTGTAATTTGAATCCTTAAGGAGTCAAATAAGGACCGGGGGAAAAATCTAACTTTCTTTGGGGTTCTTGAGATAATCTTCCATTCTGTAAACCTGCAGCAGGGATGAACACTCATCTGCAGTGTGCATGATTTTAAATTGTATATCCTAAACTCAAAGCACGTCTAGCACTTTGGAAGTATTTTGAAAGTAATACATTTTTAAAAAAAGATTGTTCTTTGGCATTTATAATAAACATGGTAAGCTGAAGACCTGGTATAGATGTACAAAATCTGTGCTAGGTGTACATTTAGAGGATCCACAGCTCAATGTAGTAATGTTTCCTTTGGAACCTACAGCTGCTAGTAATGACAAAGCATTTTATTTTTCTTCTTCAAAATCATTAGCTACCAAATACTGGGAAATAACTTTATATGCACTTTAAAATAGCAAAAGATAAAAGTGAACATATTTAATATATAAAGTATACATAATTGACTTTCCAGTGGGGCCTCCTCCTGGGCTATATAATATCTCCAACATCTCGTAAACTTATTATGCTACTGGTAGAAACATAAAGAAATGTGTAATTTTTAGTGGAAATAAATTATCAGTGAAAGTCAGTTTACTTTAAATCCAAAACATAAAGCCTTCAAAAAACCACTAGTCTTAAGAGAAGAGGGGTTAGATGGACTCGTGGATCTGAGAGACTCCTTTAACCATTCCAGAAAAAAAGATTCAGAGCACATATGCTTTGGTGATGGGCCCCAGTGGCAATATTTTTATATGTGAAAGGCAGCATATTCTTACTGTTGTGACATACATCTGTAGTTGCAGCTGATTGTAACAGCTAACATCAGCACTTCTCATACACCATGCAGTGTGATGAGCACTTCATTATTTTATTGGATCGAAGGTAAAAGAATATTATCATCATCATTTTATAGAGGAGGAAACAGGTCTGGTAAGTGCCCTGAATCTCCTGGCAGTTGTGGGGCGCTTATCTGTACAACCCCTACTTTTTCTAGACACTAAAAGGGAGAAAAGGCCTAACCATCAAAATGGTTCTTACAAGACACTGAAGTTGGGGTTCTGTGCATTACTTCCATTCTCATTTAGGGGCTTACTTTACTTTTTTTTTTTTTTTTTTAAGATTGATTGATTCCCTAGCTTCCCAGACCTGTCCTCAGCAAATGGCAGAGAGGTGTATTCAATGAGTAGGTGTTTATTTAGTCATTCAGCTAGTTTTTGTAGCCTGTTGTATACCAGGCACTAATGGTGAACATACCTGGACTAGGAACAAGCCCTCATGGTCCTTACAATCTAGTATAGGAGGTATGGTAATCACATCTCACAAGTAAATGTACAATTGAAAATTAATAAGAGCTGTCAAGAAGTCCAAGTTTTTTTTTTTTTTTTTTAATTTATTTATTTGAAAGGCAGAATGACAGAGGAGAGAGAGAGAGAGCGAGATCTTCCATCTGCTGGTTCATTTCCCAGATGCCTGCAATAGCCATGGCTGGGCCAGGCTGAAGCCAGGAGCCAGGAACTCTATGTGGTTCTCCTATACGAGTGGCAGGAACCCAGTACTTCAGCCCGCATCTGCTCCCACACAGGTGCATTAGCAGGAATGGGCTGCTGGTGCAGAGTAGCTGGGACTCAAACTAGCGGTCTGATATGGGTTATGGGCGTCCCGAGAGGCGGCTTCAACCGCTGCATCGCATGCGCACCTGGGTGAATGCAAACCTGGTCAAGAAGGTAAGAGACAGGTGGTTTATAAGGGCAGACACATCCTAGGTAGAGAAGAAATATTCAATCTAATGCTGACCTAGTATAAAAATGCATACAGTAGGGGGCCGGCACTGTGGCTCAGCGGGTTAACGCCCTGGCCTAAAGCGCTGGCATCCCATATGGATGATGGTTCTATTCCTGACTGCTCCTCTTCTGATCCAGCTCTATGCTATGGCCTGGGAAAGCAGTAGAAGATGGCCCAGCTGCTTGGGCCTCTGCTCCCACATGGGAGACCTGGAAGAAGCTCCTGGCTCCTGGCTTCGGATCAGCGCAGCTCCGGCAGTTGTGGCCATTTCGGGAGTGAACCAGTAGATGGACGAACTCTCTCTCTGTCTCTACCTCTCTCTGTAACTCTGCCTGTCAAATAAATAAAAATAAATCCTTAAAAAAATGCATACAGTGATGAACTTCAGCCGTAGAGAGGTGAAATTCAATACTCCATGTTTAGAAAAACATTTAGTATACTTGGAAAGATTCACACTAAAGTTAGCTGAAGAAAAACCTTGGACATTTCAATACACAGGTTATTTTGGTGTTGCTGTAATAAAACTTCTGTTTGAAACAGCAAAGTGTAACTGAAAGAACCATTTCTTGCATTTTTTTAAAGATTTTTATTTATTTATTTATTTGACAGGTAGAGTTATAGACAATGAGAGAGACAGAGAGAAAGGTCTTCCTTCTGTTGGTTCACTCCCCAAATGGCTGCTACTGCCGGAGCCACGCTGATCCAAAGTCAGGAGCCAGGAGACAGGAGCCAGGTGCCAGGTGCCTTCTCCTGGTCTCCCATGCTGGTGCAGGAACCCAAGCAATTGGGCCATCCTCCACTGCCTTCCGAGGCCACAGCAGAGAGCTGAACTGGAAGAGGAGCAACTGGCACTAGAACCCAGAGCTCATGAGCTGCAGGTGGAGGATTAACCAAGTGAGCCACGGCACCGGCCCCCCAACTTGCATTTTTTAAAACTACTTTCTAGTATCTGATATGCAAGTATTTCTTGATCAGTAACCCAACTACAAAATATTGTAGTATAACAGATGAATTACTAAGAATTTACTGTTAATTATAAAAGGAACATGTAAATACACTTACTGAACACTTACTGTTATTCCAGGTGCTGTGTTAGAATCTGAATATCCAAAGATGAATAGCAGTCCCTACCTCCTTACCCTCCATAAGGTCATACTATAGAAATAATTTTCTTTATGATATTTCTCGAGTGTTAAGTATTAGCAATCATGTTGTCAGTCCCATGTTATAAGAAACTGTACTATCACCATCACCACCACCTCACTATGGTTTGGTGATAATTTGACATTGCTAATGCTTTTATTAACTTTAACTTCTTCATTTTTCTAAAATGATGCAGTGCCTCTTGTTATGATTTTTAATGGGGCTTGGATTAAAATGCTTTTTTATATTGTAGCAGAGTATATATATTTTCTTTTTCAATATACATGTGTGTCCTTACCTATCAAGAATAATGAATAAAATAAACTTTGATTTTAAAATCACCAGATGATGCCTGATTTATTAAGAGAAAATTTTATTCAGATTAAGCAGAAATTTCTTTTCATACAGTTCATACAGCACTCAGGACGTTCTGCATTTCATACATCATTTTCAAACTTTTAAAAACAATACATTCCCTGGTGCTCCTCCAATTCGTAAGAGTGGAATTGCTCTTGTTGAGGGTTTTCCTGAGTAAGCTGTGGCTTTAAGACCAGTTTGAAATCATGCCTTTAAAGTAACAAAACAGCAGATGCAATGGAAGGATAGACTGACCCATAGTTTGGTTTGACTGGAGCTGTAGGCTTAACCAACATGGTTTTCCAAAATGTATCCATTGGGACAGTGTGTTTTGGCAGGAGTTTATGGTGATGCTTCCACGTGCTTTCAATCAGGTCCTCTTAGTGGACCTTCCAAGGGGATCAATACCACAGCCTTATTCTCGTTAGTGCTCTACTAAAATCGTGCAAACTATCATACTTCACGCCATCAAACCCAAGATCTACTACGACAGTGTGCTTAAAAAACTGGCAGTGGTGTGGGGTAATAATACGAGTCACTATGATGAAGTTTTATGGGAAGTAGCAGTTAAGATCGAATACCTGCTCTTGCACTGTACAAGGCGACGAGGATCTGAAGATAATCCCGCCCTCAAGGTCTCGGTGGACAGGCTAGTAGTACAAAACACACGCAAGGTAGCTACGTTATCGTTTATGTCTGGGGAGGAAAGTGTCCTGCAGAAGAAATCGCTTTGTTCCTGAGAAAGAACAACGCTACACTTTGCCTTTGTGGGTGCAGTATGAAGGACTTTTAGGGTGGGAGAGGGGAGTCGCCTGATAATCAGAGAAACCGCGGGCATCACCTAATGCAAACCTCTCAGAGTTGGAGAAAATGTAAGCCCGAGCTCGTAGCGCGCTTATTTACTACAATCACCGGGGCAAGTTCCACTTGATGAGTCAGTCGCTAGGGCTCATTCGCATGCCGCTGGTGCCTCTTGTCCGCCCTGCACCTGTTTCCTTAAGTCTAAGGGCGACTGTGAAATACCCACCACTCTCATCCCGGCCCCAGATTCCACCCTCGGAACAGGCTGGCTCTCATCTCTGGGATCCGACTCTAGGACACTGCGGGTCGGCTGGTCGGAAGCCGCCGGCCCAGGGGCCGCAAGTCCGCAGGGCGTTCACCCTCCGCAGGACCGCGGCCACCCTTCTCCGCAGGACGGCGGCCTCGGAAGTGACGTGAGGGAAGCGGAAGTGCCTGGTGGTGCTGACTTCCTGTTATTAGAGGCGCGGGTAGGGGGCTGGCCGCTCGGTTTGCGATTGTCTGGGGCAACCTGGGGCAGCCCCGGAGCGGCTGACCCTCTGCCTGCAGGGACGGGAGTCGCGCAGTGGCCGTCATGGCGGTGTCGGAGAGCCAGCTCAAGAAAATGGTGTCCAAGGTGAGGCCGCGACGCCGCGCTCGCCGTCCCGCGCGCACCCACTACTCCCTTCCGCGCCCGGTCCGGACCCAACCGGTCCGGCCCAGCCAGCCTCCCGAGCGGGCCGGAAGCCCCAGCGCAGCCCTCCGCCGCCCCCACGGCCCGGCGCCCCGAGCTGTCGCCTCGAAGTGCCCGCTCCCGAGCCAGGGAAGGTTGGGGAGGGGCGGGGGGCGCGGCGACAGTCAACAAAGGCGGGGAGCGAGGCTGCCTGCCACCTGCCGCCCGCCCTTGTCTGTCCGGGAGAGTTTGGAGCTGACTGTGGGGCACTGTAGTTTTCGTGCTAGCGTTTACACACACACACACACTCGGGGCGGAGGAGGGGGAGAGTCGTACCTGTCCCGGCGCGGGGGTCTGACGGCCTCGGCCCCTCCGTAGTGGCCCCTAGAGATTGTGGCCTTTTCCGTCGTGCAGTGCCCACGCGGCTCAGCACCAGAATCGCGGGCTGCATCGGCTGCGTTAAAGCTGCACGGGAGCCAGGGGAGCCAGGGGAGCCGGGGGAGCCGTCCCGCCTCGCCCCAGGTGAAATCAATAGAATCCCATCGCCGCGTCGGGAGTTCGCTAGCAGCGACTGCTGTTGGTCGTATGCCTCTTAGGGTGCGGGTTTGTTAACTTTGAGCTTAATTCACGGCCTTCACAACTCAAGAGCGGTGTCATTGTTTGTTACGAAGCAGTTAGGCGTCTTATAGTTTAAAGCTGTGATTTATTTTGCTGAGCCTTTCTAATGGGTCACCGGATGCCCGTATAACATAATTGACCAGAGGTGAATGGAAGACGTACGTACTCATAAAGTGGTTGAGAGTTGATTTTTCTTTTAAAAGGGTTAGCTTTAGATACACGGTCAAAGCAAGAATGATAGAAATAGTTTGTTTCAGCAGGTTTCAACTTCTAGTGAAACGTACTTAAATAAAAAAACGTACTTAAATAAAAAAGCCATTTTCTGGTAAAAATCGTCCTCCTCTTGACTGAAGACCAGGTAACCTCCAAAGAGACACCGACAGTTTTTCTAAACTCATGTGGTTAGGTTGTCTGAACCTATCTGTGGGACCTCTTGATTTTCTTTGGTAGAGTAGTTATCGTTAATTATAGAGCAGGTTGTGGGGGAATTAGAGAAGATTGTGACTCAGGTAAAGGTCTCTGTTGTAACAGTTATATATTACTTCACGAAAAACAGTATTTTGTATACCAAAATAAACTTTTAATTCCATTTTTCTACGATCTTTTTGAAGTACCCTCATACTTCGGACTGTTCATGCAGAAAACTCTCGTGTTCTTTCTTACTAGTGTATCTATGTTATTCCTATACTGGGGTGCGGAACTTTTTTTCTGCCAAGGGCCATGGGATATTTCTAGCAGCATTCACGGGCCATACAAAATGATCAACTTAAAAGTTAGCCTGCCGTAGGTGTATTGAATGTTGAGTCCCACCTGCGGTTGCTTTGGCAGAACCAGGCCAAATGATTTTGCGGCCCTGGGCTGATGTTCCCCCACCCCTGCCTAGGAGGAGTCACTGTTAAGTCTGTAGAAGAGAGCTGACAGGTTAACGATCGTACCTCATGCCTTTTTACATTCTAGGTGTACCACAGTGAGCAATCAGACAAAATAAATAAAACACAAATCACTACACTTCTGGAGTTTAAATTATCATGGAAGGTAATAAACCAGCAAAAAGTACATAAGTACATTAACTACCACGCTGAAAAGTGACGAGTGCTTTAAAGAAGAGCAAGCAGAAGAGAGACGAGCGCTAGGATGGTGAAAAGGGATGGCTTGTAGTCTTATACCAGCTAGTAAAGGAAGGCCTTTCTTGGAAGAGCTGTTTGGGCAGAACCCTGAAAGAGATAAGGAAACACACTTTGGAACAGTGTGCAGTAAGAACCTTCCAGGAAGAAGGAAAAACAAGTACAGAGAGAGAGAGGTTTGTCACGCCTGGTGGAAGAACGCAAAGGTGGGTAGGGTGGCCAGGCTGCACAGAGCGAGGAGGGAAGTTGGGCTGGGTTCAGACCTTGCCTGTGGATGGTGTGGGAGGTTTTGGAGGGCATTGCAGGACCTTGGAAAGACGTTGGCATTTCCTTGCAGTCTCATAGGAAGCCTCTGATGTGTTTTAACGGTACCAGAGGATTCCACAAAGTTCGTGGGAAAATGGAATTGAAAGATAAGTTTATTTTGGTACAGAAAATTTTGAAATTATGCGCAAGAGGGGTCTTCAAAAAGTTCATGCAAAATGTATATTATGAAAAATGTGTGTGGTTTTCTAACTGCACCAAAATATACCTACTTAATTCTATTTTCCATGAACTTTTTGAATTAATATATTACTCCAGCTGGTATTAGACTGTCAGGGGTTAAGTGTGCAGATCCCTTAAAGAGACTTGCAATTTCATCTAGATGAGAGGTGCCCTTGGCTTAGACAAAAACTGTTAGCTGTGGAGATAAATATATATATATATTTTAAAGATTTATTTATTTATTTGAAAGTTGGAGTTACACAGAGAGGTCTTCCATCCGATGGTTCACTCCCTAATTGGCTGCAACAGCCAGAGCTGCCCTGATCTGAAGTCAGGAGCCAGGAGCTTCTTCCTGGTCTCCCATGCGGGTGCAGGGTCCAAGGACTTGGGCCATCTTCTACTGCCCTCCCGGGCCACAGCAGAGAGCTGGACTGGAAGAGGAGCAGCTGGGACTAGAACCAGCACCCGTATGGGATGCCGGCACTGCAAGCGGAGGCTTTACCCATTATGCCACAGCACCGGCCCTTCTAGATATATTTTGAAAGTAGAGTTAGCAGGATTTTCTAACAGATGTGCCGTGGATGCAAAGGAAAGGCATCAAGAATAGTATCCAGGTTTTTGGCCCGAGCAGCTAGAAGGAGGAATATGTATGTGTGTGCGTGTATACACTCATGTACTTGTATGTGGAAGATGCAGGAAAGTACATTTGGAGGGAAGGTAAGAAGTTCAATTCATGTTCAAATTGCCATTCATTAACTATCCAAGTGGAGATGTCACATTGGTAATTGGATAGATAGTATTCTCCTCTTTTCTAGGGAGACAAGTTCTAAGACCCCTGGTAGATACTGGAAACTGTGAATAGTGTCAAGACCTATATGTTCTATGTGTTTTCTTATATCTATGATAAAGTTTATAAATTGGGCATAATAAGAGATTAACCACAACAATAATAAGGTAGAACCATTAAAACAATACACTGCAGGGCCGGTGCTGTGATGTAGCAGATAAAGCTACCACCTGCAATGCCAGCATCTCATATGGGTGCCAGTTCGTGTCCTGGCTGCTCCACTTCCAATCTAGCTCTTTCTTGTGGCCTTAGAAAGCAGTGGAAGATGGCCCAAGTCCTTGGGCCCCTGCACAGGAAACCTGGAAGAAGCTCCTGGCTGCTGGCTTCAGATCAGCCCAGCTCCAGCTGTTGCGGCCATCTGGGGAGTGAACAGTGGACGGAAGACCTCGCTTGCTTGCTCTCTCTGCCTCTCCTTCTCTCTCTGTGTAACTTTGCCTTTCAAATAGATAAGTAAATCTTTAAAAAATGTTTAAAAAACAAAAATAATGTACTTCAGTATTAATGCCAGTGTCTCTTCTCTTGTGCCTTAAGGCCATTAAGTAAAACAAGTTACTTGAACACAAGCATTGCTACAGTCAGTCAGATAACCAAGGTGGCTACTAAACAGTTAAAAGGTGGGTAGTGTATACAGAGCGGATATGCTGGACAGAGCTGGACAGCACATGATTTCATTATGCTATCACGCTACGTAGAACGGCACACATTTTAAAACTAATGAATGACATTTCTGGGATTTTCCATTTAATATTTTTAGACTCCAGGTAACAGAAACTGAATAAAGGAGATTACTATGAGTATCTGGAATTGAAACAGGTTCAGCCTACAAAATTTTAATCGTGGAGTTTCCAAGATTTATATGGTGTTTAAAACCACAAGGGAGAGGTTGGCATTGTGGCATAGCAGGTAAAACAGCCAGCTGCAACACCGGCATCCCATATGGGCTCTGGTTGGAGTCCTGGCTGCTCCACTTGCAGTCCAACTCCCTGCTAATGTGCCTAGGAAAGTAGCAGAGGATGGCCCAAGTACTTGGGCCCCTGCACCCACTGGGAGACCCAGAAGAAGCTCCTAGCTTCAGCCTTGCCCAGCACTGACAGTTGCAGCCATTTGGGGAGTGAAGCAGTGGATGGAATCTCTTTCTCTCTCTCTCTCTCTCTCTCTCTCTCTGTGTCTATCTCTAACTTTGCCTTTCAAATAAATAAATAATTTTTTTTTTTTATTTATCTGAAAGAGTTACACAGAGAGGTGGAGAGAGAGAGGTCTTGCATCCGTTGGTTCACTCCCCAATTGGCCACAACGGCTGGAGCTGTGCTGATGTGAAGCCAGGAGCTTCCTCTGGGTCTTCCATGCAGGTGCAGGGCCCAAGGACTTCAGTCATCTTCTATTGCTTTCCCAGGCCATAGCAGAGAGCTGGATCAGAAGTGGAACAGCTGGGACTCGAACCAGTGCTCATATGGGATGCCAGCACTGCAGGTGGTGGCTTTACCCGCTATGCCACAGCACTGACCCCCAGATAGATAAATAAATGAATCTTAAAAGAAAAAACAAAACAAAAACAAAAACACAAAAACAAGGGAGATCACCAAATGATTAAGTTTAGAAAGATAGGAGCACTATGGACTGAGCCCTAGGGTTCAATGTTAATTGATTAGAAGAGAAAGAATCAGCAAAGAAGCTGAGAAAGAGTAGCCAGAGAGGATGAAACCAAGCATTGGTGTTCTGGAAATCTAATGAAGAACATTTTTTAAGAGGAAGGAATCAGTTTCGTCAAATACCGCTGATAGACAAAAACAGAATTGGCCATTGCAAATCATGTGACAGTTATTGGTGACCTAAATGAGCAATTTTAGTAAAGTGGGTGGAAAATATATTTTTATATATACTCCCTTCCTGGTCAAAACCCTTGAAGTTTGACTTGATATTTTTTTTCCTTTGCATCCACAACAAATCTGTCAGAAAATCCAAAAATATAAAAATTACACAGATGACCATAACTTATGAATTCAACTACTAATCCACAGTAAGATATATTGAACTATACCAAGGAGATGCAGTTAGTAGATTCCAAACTGTGGGAGCCTCTGTAGGACCAGTGAACAGGTTTCTTCAACAAGCAGAGACCAGGGGGGTAAAAATGGAAGTGAGCCCAACACTTGACTATTTATTAACTGAGCAAAATGTGGTATAATCTTTTACCAAGATTATTCACTGATAAGAAATGAAGAACTGAAATATATACTACACCATGGATGCACCTTAAAAACACTAAATGAAAGAAGTTAGGGCTGGTGCCGTGGCTCACTAGGCTAATCCTCCGTCTTGCGGCGCCGGCACACCGGGTTCTAGTCCTGGTCAGGGCACCGGATTCTGTCCCGGTTGCCCTCTTCCAGGCCAGCTCTCTGCTATGGCCCGGGAGTGCAGTGGAGGATGGCCCAAGTGCTTGGGCTCTGCACCCACATGGGAGACCAGGAGAAGCACCTGGCTCCTGCCATCGGATCAGTGTGGTGCGCCAGCCGCGGCAGCCATTGGAGGGTGAACCAATGGCAAAAGGAAGACCTTTCTCTCTGTCTCTCTCTCTCACTGTCCACTCTGCCTGTCAAAGATAAAAAAAAAAAAGTCATAAAAGTCACATACTGTATAATCTTATTTATATGAAATGTTCAGAAAAGGCACATCTATAGAGCCAGAAAGTAGGTAAGTGGTTGTCTAGGGTGAGGAAGGGGCAGATGCCATGTGGGATGATTGCAGAAGGGTGTTGGTTCCTTTTGGGGGCATTGAAAATGTTCTGAAACTGTGGTAGTGGTTGCGTAATGCTGAGTGGACTGGAAGACATTGAACTGTGTACTTGAAATGTTGAGTTATGTGGCGTGTGAGTTACAGCTCAATAAAGCTATAAGAAAAGAGGTGGGTGAGAGAATCTATATGGTGAAAGAAATTTTAAAAATGCTTTAATATTGTAAAATATGAACTTTATTTGGATCCTGAGTCAAAGAAACTTTAAAAAAAAAAAGGAAAATACTGGGTATTTGATATTAAAGCATTAATGTTTATCTTAGTATACTGTAGCTTTTTAAAAGTTATTATCTTTTAAAGATAGCATATGTTATTTACTTCCGAATACCACAGGATGGAAAAGTTGGTGGGGTTATAGATTAAATGATTGACTGCCGGCTGTTGGATTGAGGGTATTCATTATATTATTCTCTTTACCTTTGGAAATGTAATTTTCCTTAACAAAAAGTTTTAAAAAGAAAGCATAGGAAGAGAATGATCAAAGACAGCAAGTGTAAGCAGCTTATTGCACAAGCTTTTTTGATAAAAGGAACTGGGAGAACTGTGGTGATAACTGGAGGGGCAAGAGTTCAGTAGTGGGTTTGATGATGTGAACAAGATGGGACAAATAAGAGTTTGTATGCTAAAGGAACTGTTCTCATAGCATGGAAGAATTGGTGCTACAGAGTAAGGGAGGACCAGAAATTCTGAAGAGATGCCTCTGAGTAGGTGTCCTGGATTTACCCTCTGATTTTTCTTGTATTTTCTCTCTTGTTCTCTATCACTCTTTGGCTCTGTAAGATTTCTTTGGCTTTATAAACTAATCCTTCTGTCTGTTCTAAGTCAGTGTTATGTGTTTGTTCCCACATTTTTTACATCTGAGTGTGTTTGTTCCTTAAGAGCTTTTGCTTCATGAACACAGTACCTCCTTGAAGTTACTCATGCTAGTTCTTTTTAGAAGTTTTCTTCTGTTCCTCATTAACTGCTTGACTTGTTAGTTCCTTGACCTCTGACTTGCCTATTGGAACCTTACTAGAATAGGTGACTGCTCCACATTGAGAGAGAAGCACTGAAAACTGTTAGAAATCTTTGTGTGCATACACGGTGCTTGTCAGCTGTTGAACTTCAGTACACTTTGATCTGGTGATGCTCAGGGCTCCTTATCTCCTGCCAGGAGTGTGTAGACCAGGTTGCTAATTCTCCTGGAGGGGAGTGATACAAGGTGAGTTGAAAAATACTATAAGCTACACTTCTGAAAGTTCATGGAAAAAAATAGAATTAAAATATAATGCAAAATTTCCATGAACTTTTTGAATTCCCCTCATGCAGTAAATGATGCATTGTAAAGTAGATTCTAGAGTAAGTGCTGCCGCTTCAGGAGAAAAGAGATATTTACTGGCCAAAGGGGAGTCTGGTACTCTTAAAGAAGCTGGGGAGGAATGTAATCTAGCTCTTTGAAAATGATTAGCATTCTTTTAGGGGCAGGTGTGTGGCACAGCGGATAGTCACCTCTTGGGCACCTGCATCCCATAGGGGAGTGTTGGTTTGAGTCCTGGCTGCTCTGCTCTGATACACCTCTCAGCTAATGCCCCTGGAAGTGCAGATGCTAGCTGAAGTACTTGAGTCCCTGCCACCCACTGGGAGACCCAGATGGAGTTCCTGGCACTTGGTTTTGGCCCGGTCCAGCCCTGGCTGTTGCAGCCATTTGAGCCTTTTCTCACTGTCACGCTGCCTTTCAGATAAATAAATAAAAAATTTGATTACTGGAAGGCCTTTTAAGTTAGAAGAACTAAAGTAAAATGAAGGTAACTTCAGTGAAGGGTTCAGCTGGAGAAAGCTGTTGCAGTTCTTTCAGCTTTAATATTAATAATAAGTGAAAACCATTATTCTTTGAGTGCTAAGAGGGAAATAGAATTTTAAACTGAATTCTTGTGTGATTTTGCTTTTCAGTACAAATACAGAGACCTAACTGTACGTGAAACTGTCAATGTTATTACTCTCTACAAAGATCTCAAACCTGTACTGGATTCCTATGGTGAGTTTGTGCAATAAACATACCCATTACTGTTGAATTTACTTTTTTTTTTTCTCATGCTCATAGTTTTCCCATTTTCCTTTTAAGTTTGTTGATTTCTCAATTGTGGGACTAAACCTCCACTTGACTAGAGTGTTGGGGGATAGGAAATAACAAAATTCAGCAATAACAATATATTTCTTAAGTTATTAAAGAAATGCTCTACTATAGAACCATGCAAATTTAAATGTAGGAAGGGATGTTAAACATAGTTTCGTCCATTATTTCACCGCGTTTTATCCATAGACACATAATTTTGAAAAATGTTTCAGGGGATTAGAGGCAGAATTCTGTGGTTAAATATGAAGTTATGGACTATACTAAATTAAAAGGGTTTCCTTGTAGCTAGATTTCTTAGCCTTTAATATGCTGATGTGTTGTGTACTACCAAGAAGAGAAGGGACAGTATATGCTAAAGCTTCACCCTCCAGCCCCAGTAGCATCTCTCTGTGATTTAGGAACACATTTTTGCAAAACTAGACTCTGGATATCCTTTTCTTTTTATAGATGGAAGGTTTTTTTTTTTTTTTTTTTTTTTTTTTTTTTTTTTTAATATGGTCTTTAATTCTGTGAGTAGGAAGGTAGCAATTTGTTTATACTTTCTGTTCAAATAAAGTTGGGATTTAAGTAAGAAATCACAACATTTGGAGGTTTTCCCTTTTTGAATACAGAAGGTTTTTTTTTTTTTTTTTTTTTTTTTGTCACACTGAATCTGAAAATAATCTGCTCAACCCTGTGTTCTTGAAAACACCTAATGTGCCAGGGCCAAAGGAAAACCCATGCTACCTACTTGGCTATGAAGGCAAGAACTGGTGTTTTTTTTTGTTTTTTTGTTTTTTTTTTAGATTTATTTATTTATGTAAAAGGCAGAGTTACAGAGAGAGAGGGAGAGGGAAGGAGATAGAGATAGGGGGAGGGGAGAGAGATCTTTAAACACTGGTTCACTCCCCAAATGCCCACAATGACCAGGGCTGGGCCAGCCTAAAGCCATGTGTCTCCCATGTGGGTGCAGGGGCCCAGGTACTTGGGCCATCTTCCATTGCTTCCCTAGGCACATTAGCAGGGAGCTGGATCAGAAGTGGGGCAGCTGGGACCCAAACTGGCACCCATATAGGATGCCACTGGGCAGCTAGGAGCTTAACCCCCTCTGCCATAACACTGGCCCCACGAACTGAATTTTGTGGCTGAGACTTCTAAATTCTATTCACCTCTAAGGCTTTGAAACATTAAGAGCCTGGTGAAGAGAAATGGGTTCCAAGAGTGGTCAGGCAGTCCTGCATTTTCTGAGCGACCAAGACATGAACCAGAAGTTCCCTTTCAAACCTAGGGTGTGATTGCCCCTCATTTTCCTCCCTTACTGCTTCCACATATTGTACCATGGTATTTGATCTGTGAAAACTTCATGTTACCAAGGCCTTTAAGTGTATAGTTTCTACTTCATGCTAAAAGAACAGATTGGTGAAAACTGATTTCTAGGAGATTTCATTATCAAATAAATCTTGTATAGCTTCTTATGGCTCGCCCAATTCTAAATCATTGTTATGAAAATACTTTTAGAATAAACAAAGCTCCAAGTTTAAATAAAGTATTTTTAAAAAAACACAAAATCAGAATAAATTGAGGCAGTTTGCTATTTCCAACAGTAAGTAAAATCATCATGGTCACCTGTGTAGTTCTGTGTCCTGTTGCACATTATAGCCTTTTCCCCGTATGATTCAGTGTTAATCCATTCATGCTTACAAATAATAGCACTCAGTGTAACACAAATTATGTATCCTAATTGTTAATAGGAAAAGATAATGTGGTATTAAAAGAACCTGCCTGTATTTGTGAGAACTTATTTTTGATTCTGTGGTTTAATACTACATTGGGATTGAGAATGAAAGTGAATGGGGATAAAGACCTGAGGATTTCTAGAATATATAAAGATACTAGGTTAATGTTCAGTACAGTATCACTTGGTAGTGACTTTTAAACATTTTCTAATCATGTTCGTTGGGGACCAACAGCTCCTATTTACTAGGTCTATAACACTCACATCCATTTTTCCAAGTATTCAAAGCATCTTTTCTTTTAATCATTCAAAGCTGGTCCCATTGAGTGAGTCAACAAAGGATTGTTTGTTACCGGACAGAATGGATGATGCATTGGAAGTTAGCCCCTTTCAAGAACAATAATGAATTTTAGCCAGTGTTTCTGAAAGAGTAACTTATGCTCTTATACCAAAATGCTCATGATTCAATCATTGTTCTTTCCTTTCAGTTTTCAATGATGGCAGTTCCAGAGAACTAATGAACCTCACTGGGACAATTCCTGTGCCTTATAGAGGTAAATAGTTTTCTAGTAAAGATGTATTTTGATTACATAATCAATTCAAAGGAACTTCAAAAAGTTAGTGGAAAATAGACTCAAAAGAAAAGTTTATTTTGGTGCAAAGTTTTTTGAAATACATGCAGTTTTTGTCCTATGCATTTGCCGTGTACTTTTTGAAACCCTTCATATATTGCTAGCGTAGAAGTCAATTAAACTTTCTTGTTGCTTTCAGAAATTTTTACCTCCTGGGTTCTTCTATTTGTTTGTTTTTTGTTTTTTTTTTTTTAATGTTTATTTGTTTTCTGTCTACTTGGAAGGCAGAATGAAAGAGATATCTTCCACCTGCTAGTTCACTTCCACATACTCATAATAGCCAAGGGTGTGCTGGGTCAAAGCCAGAAACCTGAAACTTGAACTGGGTTTCTCCCCTGTAGGTGACAAGAGTTAGTGCAAGCACTTGAGCCACCACCTGCTACCTCCCAAGACACATTAGCAAGAGACTGTATCAGAAGTGCAGTCGCTGGAACTCAAACTGGCCTCCTGATGCAGGTTGAGGACATCCCAGGCAACAGCTTAACTTGCTGTTTCACAGTGCCTGCCCCAAACAGTAACTCGTGATTGACCATCATTTGGCAGGGCAATTCACATTTTCAACTCTCTCTCTCTTAGTTTTTTCAAGTATTTGTAGAATTTTGTTTTTAAAAGAGAAACGAAAGCAGAGATCTTCCACCTGCTGGTTCATTCCCTGTTTGCCCTCAGCCTCTGGGACTGGACTATACTAAAGCCAGGAACCAGGGACTCAGTCTGAGTCTCCTGTGTGAGTGGCAGGGACCCAAGAACTTGAGCGCTCACTTTCTACTGCTCATGGTGAGCATTAGCAGGAAGCTGGAATCGGAAGTGGATCAGGAACTCAAATCCAGGGACTCCAGTATGGAAAACAGATGTCTCAAGTGCTTAACCACTGTCCCAAATACCTGTCCCTTTAAAAAAAAAAAAAAAAAAGATTTATTTATTTGAAAGAGTTACACAGAGGCAGATGAAAGTCTTCCATCTGCTGGTTCACTCCCCAAATGGCCAGCTGGGCTGATCTGAAGCCAAGAGCTTGGAGTTTCTTCCAGGTCTCCCATGTCGGTGCAGGGGCCAAAGAACTTGAGCCATCCTCCACTGCTTTCCCAGGCCATAACAGAGAGCTGGATCAGAAGAGGAGCAGCTGGGTCTCAAACCAGTGCCTTTGTGGGATGCTGGCCTCATCCCTCCTTTTTTAAAACTTCTTTACCTAGATATATCAACAAATAAATATAAGTACCCAAGTACACTGGAGGAATTTCATGTTTCGGAGAATCAAAGAATCTTAAAACTACAAAGGGATCTTAAATGCTCCCTACATTATTCAGACCTTTTTTTTTTTTTTTTTTTTTTAACAACAGGAAGCTATATGATGGAGTGACTAAAAGAATTTAATGTCAGGACAGAGTTAGGTGTGCGTTCTCTATATTTTGTGATCAGTGAGCATCGATAACATTTGGATAATGATATCTCAGGGGGAATAAGAATTATAATATTTGCCAACAACCTGGCTCAGAGCCTAGTATATAATAAACAAACAATAAAAAGTAGCTTTGTGGAGCTGATGTTTGGCCTAGTGGTGAAGACACCAGTTAGGAGACGCGTCCTGCATTGTAATGCCTGGGTGTGACCACCAGCTCTAGCTCCTGATTCTCACTTCCTGCTGTTGCAGACCATGGAAGGCAACAGTGATGGCTCATGTTCTTGGGTTCCTGCCATCCATGTGGGAGATGTGGATTGAGTTTCTGGTTCCCAGCTTCAGTTCAGCCTAGTCTTGGCTGTTACAGCCATTTGCAGGGTAAACTAGTGGATGAGAGCTCTTAATCTGTCACTCTGCCTCTCAAATTAATAAATGTTTTCTTTAAAGTAGCTGTTATTTGGGGTATGCATTTAGCCTAGTGGTTCAGATGCCCACATCCCACGTCAAGAGTAACTGGATTCAATTCCTGGCTCTACCTCCTGACTCCACCTTCATGCTAATGCAGACCCTGGGAGGCAATGATGATAGCTTAAGTCATTGAGTTCCTACCACCCACGTAGGAGATCTGCATGGCCTTCATGGATCCTAGCTTTGATCCCTCCCCAGCCTCAACCCTTACAGCGTTTGGGGAGTGAACCAGCTAATGGGAGCTCTATGTGTGTGTATATGCATGCATACTGATAACGGATAATGCATCTCTGTTAGACAGTCAACTGCCCTCTGCAGGAATACTTAGTTGACATTGATAAGGAAGCATTCAACTTCATAAGAATGTTCCTAGGAAGCTCTGTTTGTTAATTATTACTTGTGACTAACATGATCTATGTCCCTATAACATACCCATTGATTTCCCATGGTACCTGCTATACATAAGCCAATAGGCACAGGGGCCTGTGAAGATAAAAAAGTAAGTAAAGATTTACCTTCTCTGGAAGAACTCTCTCAAATAGGAGAAACAGAGGAAATTATAACATATATTTAACTATTCTGTAACTGCTGTAGAAGAACATGTAAGGGGTGCTGTGAGATTACAGAGGTACACTAGGCCGCATGGGAGGATCACAGAGGAAATGAGACAGAACTTGCTATTGAAGAATGAGTCAGCCATTTGTCACCAGGTATACATTCCAGGTAGAGGAAAAAACCAGTTGAACAGCAGCATTATATAAAGCAAATAGAATAAGTTTAGGGAGGTTCAGTAAAATTCAAGATGAGTGACTTTGCCTTCGCCATTGCCCTCAGGAAATAAATCTGGCCAGGGAACTAAGTATGGTGATTATGTGTGTGTGCGTGTGTGTATAAAATTTAACTCAACATTGTCTGCTCCCTCAGCCATTCTTCATGTGGCATAGTTCATAAGTCTAAGTTACTATGAGGAATTCTTTATTTTCACAAAGCAAATAATTCTAGAAAAATAAACTTAGGCTTATATATCCTGTTGGTACTTTTTGTTCATTGTAGAATAATTGGGATAAAACTATAATAAACCCCCAAATCCCACAGCTATCTGATTTTTTAGATGAAATTTATGTGGATATATTTACATGTAGTGAAACTTTCTAAGGGGAAAGAATGCATCTAAATTGTTAGGTGGTTCAAATGATTACCTGGGACCTGGGCTTTCAACAAACCAAGAGAAGACTGATTTATTCTGAATGAATTCACTCCATTGGTTCCTTTGAAACATTATTTGAAAGCATATTCTCGTTTCTCAATTGACATTATAATACAGAAAGCAACATTAGTGATTCTGAATAATTCCCATGAACATACCATGTGCTTTGCTCAACTAATGGATACCAGTTAGCATCTGTTTAGTTGGATTTGGTCTTTCTGTTTTTAAGATTTTGTTTATTTACTTATATGAAAGGCAGAGTGACAGAGAGGTCTGTCTGCTGGTTCACTCCCCAGATGCCTGCAACAGTCAGCACTGGGCCAGGCTAAAGCCAGGAACTCATCTGGGTCTCACATATGGGTGGTGGGAACCAAGTACTTGGGCCATCATTTGCTGCCTCCTAGTCAATCCATTAGCAGGAAGCTAATTTAGAAGCCAGAATCCCCGCACTCCTGTAGGGGATGCAGACATCCCAAACAATAACTTACTTAACCCACTGCACTGAATGCCAGCCCCATGGATCAAGTTTTGGCAAGGGAGTTTTAAGTCTATACTATTCTATCACTTTCTGATGTGGCACCTTAACTCATGCTCTTATTTCTCCTCTATATTCCTTTCCAGCAAGAAATGACAAAAGTCAAATAGCAAAGAATATATGGAGCCCAAAGATAACTTGTGGGATGGGAGTGTGGCACAGTGGTCTTTAGATACCCGTATCTCATGTAAGAGTGCCTGGTCAAGTCCCAGCTACTCCACTTCCAGTCCAGCTTCCTGCTAGCATACATTCTAGGAGGCAGCAGATGACGGCTTTTAGTACTTGGGTTCCTGCCACCCATGTGGGAAGTCAAATGGGGTTCTGGGCTGTTGGCTTCAGGCTGGCCCAGCTATGGCTGTTGGAGGCCTTTAGGGAATGAACCAGCAGATGGAAGAACTTTGTGCCTTTCAAATAAAAATGAAAATAAATTTTTTTAAAAAATAATTTGTGAAGAATTTTTTGTAACAGCAAACAGACACTGGCAGAGTAGTGATCAGTTAGCTCGTTCATCCTGTTAATGTATTTTACAAACTGAAAACTTGAAAAACTAATCTTGAATAGAGCTTTGAAGCTTAATGTTTGTAGTTTCTTTCAATTGTTGCTTAGTTATAGCTCTGTTCTTTACCTGTTAAGCTATAATTGAAATATCATAGCGTGACTGAAGTTTCTCTTTCTTTCTCAGGTAACACATACAATATTCCAATATGCCTGTGGCTGCTGGACACATACCCATATAATCCCCCTATCTGTTTTGTTAAGCCTACTAGTTCAATGACTATTAAAACAGGAAAGCATGTTGATGCAAATGGGAAGATATATCTTCCTTACCTACATGAATGGAAACATGTAAGTACTACTGGTGTCCTTTGAATTCACTGTATTTTAAAAATTTTGCTCACTAGCATCTGCTTTTTAACACATGGAAGATGAAGCAGGATAGATAAACTCAGATAATGGCCTTAATCACTGAACTGAAGGTAATTAGAAAACATATTTGTAAAATGCTTATAGTTTGCAGAATAAATATGCAGTTCACTGTTTTATTTACTTGAATTGAAACTTTAAAAATAGTTAGGGTTCACTTAGTGGGAAGTACACTTTTAAAAATGTCAAATTGGTGGGGTTTTGATTTTAAAGATTTATTTATTTGAAAGGCAGAGTTACAGAGAGGCAAAGACAGAGGCAGAGAGAGAGAGAGAGGTTTTCTGTTTGCTGGTTCACTTCCCAATTGATTGCAACAACCAGAGCTGAGCTGATCAGGAGCCGGGAGCTTCTTCCAGGTCTACCATGTGGGTGCAGGGGCCCAAGAATTTGGGCCATATTCTGCTTTCCCAGGCTATAGCAGAGAACTGGTTTGGAAGTAGAGCAGCCAGGACTCGAACTAGTGCCCATATGGGATGCTGAGACTACAGGTGGCAGCTTTACCCACTATACCACAGTGCTGGCCCCTGGTTACCCAAAGCATCCTTGCCAAGATAATAGTAGGGAACTTTTATTTCTGTCCCTCATGGTATTGCTGTGGCAGACGTATAAACTCACAAACTGTCAAACATGAGAAGGATATTGAAGCAGAGAGAATCATCAGATTTTCACTAGAAGCTTTGAGAAATGTTACTGTCATCTTTCATAAGTTAGGTTGAAATTTGAACCAGAGAGATGAGTTTATTAGTTTTTTGGAAAGGTAAAATCTGCTACTGTTTTTTTTTTTTTTTTTTAAGATTTGTTTATTTATTTGAAAGAGTTAGAGAGAGAAGAGGCAGAGAGAGAAAGAGAGAAGTCTTCCATCCACTGGTTCTCTGCTCACATTGGCCACAATGGCCAAAGCTGTGCCGATCCAAAGCCAGGAGTTTCTTCCGGGTCTCCCATGCAGATGCAGGGCCTTCTACTGATTTCCCAGGCTATAGCAGAGAGTTGGATCGGAAGTGGAGTAGCCGGGACTCGAACTGGCACCCATATGGGATGCCAGCACTGCAGGCAGCAACTTTACCCAGTGCGCCACAGCATTGGCCCCATGCTACTGACTATTCTAGCAGAAGTAAAAGAAGTTATGAATATGGTTAGCTGATGAAATGATTTAGTAGTTCTTGAGAATTTGATGAACTCATGAAAGAGAAGCATATGAAATGAGACATACACAAAATAGATTAAGGGCTGAAATTAATACCACTAAATAAGCCAGCCAGTCTGAATAACTATTTCATAATTTGTCTTAGTCATTGATAGATATTTGAGAAAATTTTTGCAACTTTCTTGGAAAAGCAGGTACTATGGCCGGCGCCACGGCTCACTAGGCTAATCCTCCGCCTGCGGTGCCTGCACACCGGGTTCTAGTTCCGGTCGGGGCGCCGGATTCTGTCCCGGTTGCCCCTCTTCCAGGCCAGCTCTCTGCTGTGGCCAGGGAGTGCAGTGGAGCATGGCCCAAGTGCTTGGGCCCTGCACTCCATGGGAGACCAGGAGAAGCACCTGGCTCCTGCCTTCGGATCAGCACGGTGCGCCAGCCACGGCGGCCATTGGAGGGTGAACCAACGGCAAAGGAAGACCTTTCTCTCTCTCTCTCTCTCTCTCACTCTCACTCTCACTGTCCACTCTGCCTGTCAAAAAAAAAAAATAAAAAAAATAAAAAAAAGCAGGTACTGTCTTTGTAACTATTATTGGAAGGAAAGATCCTTTAACAACTTGTTATCTTTCTAAGCTAGAGATTACCTATAATTTTAGTGTTCATAATACTATCTTCAATAAAATTAATTTTAAGAATATGTGTTTTCAAGGTAACATTGTTATTTATAAAAGGCCATAAATAGTATGGCTACTGTTTATATCTTCCCTGAATTTGCACCACTATACCTAAGTTGTCCATCGGCATTAAAGTAAATTTTGTTAACTCTGTGGAGTCAAATGAAAGACAATGCCATCTGAGTTTTGCAATATACTGCTTTGGCTTGCTGTTTTTAAACACATGTACGTGAAGCAAGAGCCACAAATATTATTTAAAAACTTCTAAATTTATTAAATTAAATATGGCACTTTCACAATTAGTTATTCAAAGAAAATTGTCAAATTGAGTTAAAAGTGATGAGAAATGACCAGACTTCCTCTCTGCTGAAAAGTGACTTGATAATTGACTTGAATTTCTTTTTCTTTTTCAGCCACAGTCAGACTTGTTGGGGCTCATTCAGGTCATGATCGTGGTATTTGGAGATGAACCTCCAGTTTTCTCTCGTCCTACTATTTCAGCATCCTATCCATCATACCAGGCAACAGGGCCACCAAATAGTAAGTAGAATTGAGATTTGATTTTAAAGTTTATATAAACAATATAGCCTTGTAAAAAAAATTTTAATGGCTTTACTTTGCTTTTTAGCATGTCAAGTTAGTGGAATTTTTGGAAGTATTCTGAGGCCCCACATCTGCATGTACAGATTTCTACCAAAGACTGGCATTTGGGCTTCTGTTTGTGGGTAGTAATTGAAGCATGGGTGTGGTGGATTCCAAACTGGAGGAGAAAGAATGCTGGAACAGAGCTAGATTTTTTTAAAATTGTGCATGCTGAGGAATAGTCTGATCTGATCAGCTTGGAAGCAGATATAACTTGAAAGGTAGTCTGACCTCTCCTTTCTCTTTGTGATTCCAGGATCAGTGTTATGAAGGAGAATTATAAGGTCAAAGTATTCATATTCAGTTATTCTGGGTATACACAATTGGAAATCTAGCTCTCAGATTGCTTCTGTTGTGTACAGCCAACTCCTGATTTTAACTTGGTGGAAGGGTAGAGGCATGGATGTAATAGCAGTTCTCCCCAGTTGGTATATTTGGAGGTACTTCACAAGTTCAAGGGAAATGCAATTAAATGTAAGTTTATTTTGGTGCAAAAAAGTTGAAATACATGCATAATTGTATTAGAAGTCTGTGGGAAATGCATATTTATATTATAAAAAATTGCATGGATTTCAAAATTTGTGTGCCAAAATGAAGCTTATTTTTTAATTCCATTTCCTTGAACTTTTTGTAGTACCCTGTAATATGTATTACCTTTTTATAAATCTTACTAGTACTTAAATTCACTCTGAATAATTAAGAGTTGGTTGTTTTGTTTTAATTTTACTATATCTCCATTAATTTCATTGTGTTTTGAGCTGCAAATTCTTTTGTATGTTCTATTTAAGATTATTTATTAGTCAAATTTATCTTATAAGACAAATTATGTAAGCCTTCCCTTCTGCTGAAAATCATTCTCTTTCATTTTTCATTTCATTTAATGGAACTTTTTTAATCCATTTCCCTTTTCCTACTACTTTCCCATAATAAGCTTGGTTTTAGGAATGATATCCTTTAATAAAGATAGTGATTCCTTTGGATCAGAGGTTTTTTTCATGTTACTATATTCTGTTGACTAAAGTACCCAAGAGTTAAAAATATTGCTCCTTTAAATTCGAAATACCCAGATATTTCCTAGTTTTGTCAGTCTTGCTTATTTGCTCAGATAACGTGGGAGTATTATGCCCAAGTCCCACTTGGAAGTTTGGTCTCAGCTTCTGCTCCGACTACAGCTTCCTGCCTGTGCAGATTCTGGAAACCAGTGTTGATGGCTCAAATAATTAATTGGCTTCCTGCCACCCACATGGGAAATGGGAAACTTAGATTATATTCCCAGTTCCTGGCTGCAGTAGCTCTGGCTCTCTGTCTCTCTGCCCTTTTTCTTCTTCTTCTTTTTTTAAAAGATTTATTTTATTTATTTGAAAGAGTTACAGAGACAGAGAGAGATGTCTTCCATCCACTGGCTCACTCCCCAGATGGCCACAACAGCTGGAGCTGTGCCAATCTGAAGCCAGGAGCTTCTTCCAGGTCTCCCACGTGGGTGCAGGAGCCCAAGGACTTGGGCCATCTTCTACTGCTTTCCCAGGCCATAGCAGAGAGCTGGATCAGAAGAGGAGCAGCCAGGACTAGAACCGGCACCCATATGGGATGCTGGCGCTTCAGGCCAGGGCTTTAGCCCGCTGCACCACAGTGCCAGCCCCTCTGCCTTTCAAACAAGTTTTTTAAAAAGAAAAAATAACCTGTCCAGAAATTTTGTTTCCTCTGAGTTTCTTCAGGATATTGACATTGGAAGCTCAATATTCTAAAAGAGGCCACCCTGTAGTCACTATTGCAGTTCAGCTTTCTATCCTCTAATTGAAAGTCACATTAAATACTAGAGGTAATTTAAGAAAATTACTGAAAAAGACTATTTTATTACCTCTCATTCCAGTTTTAATATATTTGATATGTTTAGATGATATCCATTAATACTAGATATGACTGTAGAAAAATGAAAATCTTGATTCCACTCCTCTCAATCTCACGTACACACACACACACACTCAGAAATTTGATTGTATACTTAAACAAATACCTTACAGTTGAGAAATTATGCACTTAAAATTATTATGATTGCTGAGAATTTTTATTTTAATCTCTTATACAATGGCTGTTGAGCTAGCACGAATCACCCTCGAAAACAGTGTTAGGATTGGGAACGGCAATGGCTGTTTGACCTAGTAGTTAAGGTACTGGTTGAGATACCCACATCCCATATTGAAGTACTTGAGTTTAAGTCCCGGCTCCACTGCTGTTTCCAGCTTCCTATTAATGCAGGCCCTAGGAGGCAGCAAATGATGGCTCCAGTAGCTGGGACCCTGCCACCGTGTGGAGATTTGGATCGAGTTTCCCAGTCACGGCTCTGGGCCTCTCTTTCTGCTGCTCAAATGAAAAACATAACTTTTTAAAATAGTATTGTAGTCAAATGTCATTTTTGACAACTATTTTCAAATTTGTTGAGTGGTAATTATGACTCACAATAAGTACTTTATGTAACATTCTTGCTTAATCCTCACAATAACCCCATATGTTAAATATTTTGGTATCCCATTTTATTCTGGCTCTAAAGTTACTTCACCCTATTACCTCCTCCCTTGCCCATCTTGGATCCAAACAGCATTTGTTATTTCCCAAAACAAAAACTTGAAGGCTTTGGAATTGTTAATTTTTAGAACCTTAGAAAAAATTGCTTATAATTATGAGGTGATTTTTTTTTATTATTTATTTATTTATTTATTTATTTTTGGCAGGCAGAGTGGACAGTGAGAAAGAGAGAGAGAGAGAAAGGTCTTCCTTTGCCTTTGGTTCACCCTTCAATGGCCGCCGTGGCCGACGCGCTGCGGCCAGCGCACCGCGCTGATCCGATGGCAGGAGCCAGGTACTTATCCTGGTCTCCCATGGGGTGCAGGGCCCAAGTACTTGGGCCATCCTCCCCTGCACTCCCTGGCCACAGCAGAGAGCTGGCCTGGAAGAGGGGCAACCGGGACAGAATCCGGCACCCCGACCGGGACTAGAACCCGGTGTGCCGGTGCTGCAAGGCGGAGGATTAGCCTAGTGAGCTGTGGCGCCAGCCCTAGGTGATGGTTTTAATGTCTGAGAGGTTTTAACGGGAGGGAGTGTTCATTGTATGTATTACAAATAATTAATAAGGACCTCATATTTTCACCAAGATGTTTGTAAAAATCAACTGTGCTTTGTGCCTGGGGAATATCTTTTAAAGGAATCTCTCAGTTGTAACATTTTGAGAGATTTTTCTCTTTATAAAATTGCATTGAATATCATCATATTTAAGAAAAATTTATTAATGACATCTATGGATTTATCCTAACAAAATTGTTGAATACTAGTTATTTGTAGATGTGTGTTCAGCAATTCTGATAAAGGCTCTTTTTCTTTTTTTCCCCATTTTATTGATTGATTGGAAGGCAGAGAGACAGGCATGGAAAGACAGAGGTCATCCATCTGTTGGTTTACTCCCCAAGTGCCTGGAACAGCCAAGGCTAAGCCAGGCAGAACCTGGGTGCCAGGAACGCAATTCAGGTCTCCCACATGAGTTACAGGGACCTAGTTGCTTGAGCCATCAACCTGCTGCCTCCCAGGGTGCACATCAGTAGGAGACTGGAATTGGAAGCACAGCCAGGACTCAAACCCAGGTGCTGTGATGCGGAGTGTGGGCATCCACACTAAACTGAGGCTCTTCCTGATGTGAGCCCACCATCACTTCCCATACCTAATAGATTTCTGTACTGTAGAAGTTCACTCCTTGAAGATTCCGCCCCTCTTGCCTGCAAGCCTTCACCTGTCATTCCTCTGCTAGATCATTTTTGGTTATCCCTATGTCCTAGCTTCAAGTTAGCTCTGTTTCCTGGATGCTCTTTTCCTGTCACAGCCCTTAGCGGCAGTGTTGTTTGCTCATCTCCCTAGCAAGGATTCTGGATTTTTTTTTTTTTTTATTTTTTTTGCTTTTTTGATCATCCCAATCCCTAAATCCCTAGTTCCTACCACATAATGGACACTAGGATATTTATTGTTTGAATTAAAGGGCTGGCCGGTGCCGTGGCTCGCTAGGCTAATCCTCCGCCTGCGGCCCCGGCACCCCGGGTTCTAGTCCCGGTTGGGGCGCCGGTTCTGTCCCGGTTGTTCCTCTTCCAATCCAGCTCTCTGCTGTGGCCTGGGAGTGCAGTGGAGGATGGCCCAAGTTCTTGGGCCCCGTACCTGCGTGGGAGACCAGGAGAAGCACCTGGCTCCTGGCTTTGGATCGGCGCAGCATGCCAGCCATGGTGGCCATTAGGGGGTGAACCAACGGAAGGAAGACCTTTCTGTCTGTCTGTCTCTCTCTCACTGTCTAATTCTGCCTGTCCAAAAAAAAAAAAAAAAAAAAAAAAAAAAAAAAAAAAAATTAAAGGGCTAATTCATCATGTTAAAGAGAAAAGTTTCACTGAAGAAAAATTGATTCAGAGAAGTCAATTCTGGTTAAGGCCAAAATTAACAACTTCTCTTTTTCTTCCTCTGATATGATTAGCCTCTTGTCATCACTGGCCTTGTTCTATGCCATTAGCATTCTCTTTAAAGGATACATAAAGCATTCATTGCATTTGCTAGATTCGAACCTTTTTTCTAGTATTTCCAAACTTCCATTTTCTTTTTAACTAGTCTAGATGACTATAAGTTTCATTTAGACTTCTCATAGTAATATGAGGCCTCTTGAAATTTGTAAATAAGCCAACAAAACCAGCTGTGCAAACTGGTTAACAGTTTTAAAGGAAATATCAAAAAAATTCTTCAGCATAGTAAAGAAGTCACTTTCTAAGAAGCTGGCCTTGAACCAGAGGTCAGAATTACCTTTCTCTAAATTTCTCATTGACAGCTATGTGAAGCTAACCAGGTTGGTTGACCTGTTTGCCAGTTATTCCTTGTTGGGCTTGTCATGAGTGTCGTTGTCAGTCATATTTACTTTGAGTTACATGATTTGAAAATGTTTACTGCTTGAAATAAAGAACTAACACGAGTGGGGTGTTTGTTTTGTTTTGGTGCTGAGGTTTGGATTCTTTAACTGAATGAAACCTAGCTGTGGTTTGACAATAGCCTACATATTCAGGACTATGCGTATTACTTTAAAATATTAAAAATTGTTTTTAGCTTCCTACATGCCAGGCATGCCAGGCGGAATCTCTGCATATCCTTCTGGATACCCTCCCAATCCCAGGTAATGGACAGTTATCTTTTGAATAATTGTATTAGTTCTAGAATCACAATAATGCCCTGATAATTACTAATTAGGGCATTAAAATAAATTTAGTTGCAATTTAGCAGAAGATGAAATTTGGTGGAATTCTATGGTATGTGTGCTTAGTTTGAAAGGAATCTCTCCCAGCCCGAGAAATGCTGCTCTGTTTTATATCCAGAGGAAAGAGGTGGGGCGGATGATGATAATCTTGATTGGTTTTGAACCTTGAAATCTTCACTACCTTCCTTTTAAGAACTTTGTATTTCCAGTGTAGAAAGCTAAGTAAAAAACTATTTTAATACCTTATGAGCTGAATGAATAAATATCATTAGACCAGTCTGATCCATCATATGAACCATTATTTGGTTCCCCACAGTACGTGGAAAACTTGTGGGGATGTTCAAGGGCAGCAGTGGTAAACCCTTCGGGGACATACACCACAGCACCCTGTCCTACATAAATATACCCGGGGTCTTGAAGGTTAAGCTTACAGACTTACTTTACTCCTGAGTCTTTCTTAGTTTTAGAGGCCAGCTTTAGGATTTAGTAAACATTCTGTCATTTTACATAAGAAAGCAGATACCAAAAGGAAAAAACTTCTCTCAGAGACAATAAAGATTCCTCTGATATAATATAAAAGCAGGTGATAGGTTCTTAACGACCCTAAATTTTCTGATTATGTTCTGAAAATGGAATACTGCTTAAAGGATTGAAATTACCAGACTTTGTAATTAGCAGTTGTAGTAAAAAGGAACTTTGGACTTGGAGTAGTTGAAAGTACAGGAAGGAAATGGTCTTTCTGAATAGTAAAGTCATTTGAAACAAACTTGTTGATAAAAATGAAAATATTGACAAAACATGAACATCTTATTCATTTGTCTTAGGTAACCAAGAAAATGGCCTTTGGGTTTATTTTTAAGAAATTCCTTCTTAAAAAACAAATTCCTTTTTTGTTTTGTTTTGTTTTGTTTTGTTTTAAAGATTTATTTTATTTATTTGAAAGAGAGTTACAGAGAGAGGTAGAGACAGAGAGAGAGGTCTTCCCATCCGCTGGTTCACTCTCCAGATGGCTGCAACAGCCGGAGCTGTGCAGATCTGATGCCAGGAGCTTCTTCCAGGTCTCCCACATTGGTGCAGGGGCCCAAGGACTTGGGCCATCTTCCATTGCTTTCCCAGGCCATAGCAGAGAACTGGATCGGAAGAGGAGCAGCTGGGACTAGAACCGGCGCCCATATGGGATGCCCACGCTTCAGGCCAGGGATTTTACACGCTGCGCCACAGCGCCGGCCCCAAGAAATTGCTTTTTTGAGGAAATTACTTTTCAAAGACTTAATGCCTCTTTGTAAAATGTAACCTTTAATCTCAAATCATAACATGCTAATAAGTTGTTATGTACTTTAATCGTCATCTCTATCTTTCTGTATATAAGATCTTCTCAGAACAGCCTCAGAACTTTTCTACTTTTGTTATACAGCAGAATTAATGAATCAGATTTAGGAAGAGTCTTTATCTTAAGAGTAAGTTCAAGACAGCGTTTATTGTCGCTTTGGAAGATTGGACTAGTTGATCGCTCAGATCTCTTCCAAATCCTAAGATCTTTTGAAAGTTTAATTTAGTACTTGTAGTACATATACAAGGAAAGTAAAAGATACATAAAGAGTAGTTGTTCTAGTTTTGATACAGGTACTGGCAAGCATGTTACTACAGAATTGTTGCTGGGGCCGTTGTTTTGCCTGTGGTTCAGATTATCACCTTGGGGCCAGCGCTGTGGCGTAGTGGGTTAAAGCCCTGGCCTAAAGGGCCGGCAACCCATATGGGTGCCAGTTCTAGTCCTGGCTGCTGCTTTTCCTATCCAGCTCTCTGCTATGGCCTGGGATAGCAGTGGAGGATGGCTCAAGTCCTTGTGCCCCTGCACCCATGTGGGAGACCTGGAAGAAGCTCCTGGCTTCGGATCGGCACAGCTCCAGCTGTTGCGGCCACCTAGGGGGTGAACCAGCAGATGGAAAACCTCTCTGTCTCTACCTCTCTCTGTAACTCTGTTTCAAATAAATAAAATAAATATTAAAAAAAAAAAAAGATGATCACCTCATAGTACATGGGTTCAATACCCAGCTCCAGCTCCTAACTCCAGCTTCCTTCTGATGCAGTCACCAGAGGTGGCTTAAATGATTGACTTCACCCATGTGGGAGACCTGATTGCCCTCCTGATTCCTGGCTTTGGCCTGACCTTGCCCTGGCCAGTGCAGGCATTTGGAGGGGTGAACCAGGGTGGGATCCATCTTTGTGTTTGAAAGAGGATCTTAAAGGAAAAAATCAAATATTTAGAGGTGAAGGAAGTAACAAAGAGATAACAATGTTTTAAAAGCTTATTTATTTGAAAGGCAGAGTTACAAAGAGGTCTTTCTTTTTATTTATTTTTTATTTTTATTTTTCTGACAGGCAGAGTTAGACAGTGAGAGAGAAAGAGAAAGGTCTTCCTTTTTCTGTTGGTTCACCCCCCCAAATGGCCACTACAGCCAGCGTGCTGCAGCCGGCGCTGTGCGCTGATCCGAAGCCAGGAGCCAAGTGCTTCCTCATGGTCTCCCATGCGGCTGCAGGGCCCAAGCACTTGGGCCATCCTCCACTGCCTTCCTGGGCCACAGCAGAGAGCTGGACTGGAAGAGGAGCAACCGGGACAGAATCTGGCACCTCGACTGGGACTAGAACCTGGGGTGCTGGCGCCACAGGCAGAGGATTAGCCTAGTGAGCCGCAGCGCCGGCCAAAGAGGTCTTTCATCTTCTGGTTCACTCCCCAAATGGTCCCAGCGGCTGAAGCTGGGCTGATCCAAAGTGAGGAGTCAGGAGCTTCTTCCAGGTCTCCCGTGTGGGTGAAGGGGCCCAAGGACTTGGGCCATGTTCCACTGTTTTTCCAGACACATTAGCAGGAGGCTGGATTGGAAGTGGAGCCACTGGGACTTGAACCAGCGCCATATGGGATGCTGGCATTGCAGGCGGTGGCTTTACCTGCTATGCCACAGTGCTGGTCCCGAGTTAACAGTGTATAACAGGAAACTTAGCAACTGGCAAGTTCACTTGATTCATTTTATTTGAGCAAAATATAAGAGCCAAAAAAATTTCAAGACAAGATAGGAAAACAGTCTACTACAGCTGAAGACTATAGGATTTTTTTTTTTTTTTTTTTTTTTTTTTTTTTTTTTTGACAGGCAGAGTGGACAGTGAGAGAGAGACAGAGACAAAGGTCTTCCTTTTTGCCGTTGGTTCACCCTCCAATGGCCGCTGCGGCCGGTGCACCGCGCTGATCCGAAGGCAGGAGCCAGGTGATTCTCCTGGTCTCCCATGGGGTGCAGGGCCCAAGCACTTGGGCCATCCTCCACTGCACTCCCTGGCCACAGCAGAGAGCTGGCCTGGAAGAGGGGCAACTGGGACAGAATCCGGTGCCCCGACTGGGACTAGAACCTGGTATGCTGGCGCCACAAGGCGGAGGATTAGCCTAGTGAGCCGCGGCGCCGGCTAGACTATAGGATTATTTGTAGGAGAATTGAAGAGAATAAAAATGCAACTTCCATACATATTCCAGATCTCCCCAAACCGTCCCTAGTCTCCTCCAGCTGGTATTGATTTCTCACTCTGCATCTCTTGAACTTTTAGTTAGCCTTTGTTATTATGTTTGTCCCTGTAACCCCATTGTTTACAGGGATCTTGCTCTATTTATTAGCATCTGGAGGAAGAGATAGTCATATCTTTGCTCCTACTTCAAGCACATAGGAAAGTGCCTTGATTGTAAGAATCATAGATAGTAAATTCGGAAAGGATACATAAAGAAAAATGAACATAAAAATATTAAAAAATTCTTTTTAGAAATACTTAGCTCAAGGAGCTAGGACAGCGGCAGGCATTGTGGTGTAGCAGGTTAAACTGCCGCTCGGGATGCCTACATTCCATGTCGGGGTCCCTGAGTCCTGGCTTCTTGGCTTCCAATCCAACTTCCTGACAGTGGTCCTGGGAGGCAGCACATGATGGTCCAAGTACTTGGGTTCCTAGCAGCTACATGGGAGACTCAGGTGGAACTCCTGGCTGCAGCCTGGCCCAGCTCTCCCTATTGTAGGCATTTGGGAAGTGAGCGAGCAGATGGAAGATAGTGCACGTGCACTGTCTCGCACTCTCTACCTCCCGCTTCTCTTCTGTCCTCTCCTTCTCCCTGTACTGTGCTTTTCAGATGAAATGAAAATAAATTTTAAAAGCTTAAGTCAGAAGAGGCTCTTTAAAATTTCACAAAAGGGGTCAGGCATTTGGCTTAGCGCTTAAAACGCCTGCATCCCATACTGGAGTGCCTGTGTTCGGCTCCAGCTCCAGTACCTGATTCTAGCATCCCTGCTGATGCACATAGATTGAGTTCTAAGTCCTGGCCATGCAGGCATTTGTGGAGTGAACCAGCAGATGGAATCTTTCTCTATTGTGCCTTTCAAATAAATAAGTGTTTTTTTTTTTAAATTAAATAACATTTCAAAAAAGATTGCTGCATAGAACAAATTATTTAGTAATCTACAAAGATAGAAAATGGTACCACTCAGTTTTTTACTTATTTATTGGGAGACAGAGACAGAGACAGATAGAAAGACAGCTCTCATCTGCTGGTTCACTCCCCCAAATACCTGCAGCAGCCTGGGACTGGGCCAAGCCAAAGGAAGCAGCTGGAGAGCCAATCCCAGTCTCTCATGTGGGTGGCAGGGATTAAATCGCCTGGGCCATCACCTGCTAGGATACACATTAGCAGGAAGCTAGAATTGGGAAAAGAGCTGCGACTCAGAACTGAGGCATCCCAACATGGGATGTGGGCATGGTAACCCATTGTCTGTTTTGTAAGATTTATTTCATTTTTATTTGAAAGAGTCGGAGAGAGAGGTAGAGACAGGGGGAGAGGTCTTCCATCCACTTCACTCCCCAAATGGTTGCAGCGGCCAGAGCTGGGCCCGCCAGGAGCTGCTTCTGGCTCTCTCACATGGGTGCAGGGGCCCAAGGACTTGGGCCATCCTGTGCTGCTTTCCCAGGCGCATTAGCATGGAGCTGGATTGGAAGTGGACCAGCCAGGACTCCAACCAGCACCCATATAGGATGCCAGCACTGCAGGCCTGGGCATTAACCTGCTGCGCCACAGCACTGGCCCCAACCCATTTTCTAAATAGTTGGACCAAGTGATTACCTCAACAAAAATTATTAACTCTCAGCCTCAAGAATTACCATTAGGAGAAACTGAACAAACTGGGTAAAGTTTCAGGAAGTTCTCTGAAGTTATTATCTGTAGGCCTAGAAAAATTTTATACCAAATTACTGAAAAATCCAATTTGATCACAGATTGTCTTTAAAAAGGTATGCAAAATAAGAGGAACTCCAGGGAAAAAAGAGCAATTTATCCTCAGCTTCAAAAAGGTGGATTCAGAAATTTGATTAAGAGTGACATTTCCCTCCAACCTTTTAGCATGGGTTGCTAAAGAGGCTAGAAACAAAGGTGCCTCCAGCAAGAGTGTGCTAGGAACAAAAATGCTTGACATTTTTTTTTTTAACCAGTAGGTAAGTGAATACTATTATTACAATGAGTTTTATCACTTCAATCCCAGACTTTTTGTTGTAGACAAGTTATAAAGTGTGAGCTCATATTACAAATAGGAGAATCTTTGAACCACTATACTGAAAAAGGATAACTGACCATCAGCTCAGAAAGAGGTCTCGTCCCGGGGATGTGGGCTGGCTGTACCCCTACCCCACCCCACTTCCCAGATTTTTTTTATTTATCTGAGGGCTTAGAACTCACATCCAATGGTTCATTCCCCAAATGCCTGCAACAGCTGGGGCTGGGCTAGGCTAAAGCTAGGAACCAGTAAGACCCCAATTACTTGAGCCATCACCACTGTCTCCCATGGTCTCCATTAGCAAGCGCTGGAGCTGGGTTTGGAAACAGGGCTCTTCGATGTGGGATGCAGGCATCTCAGTTGCTAGGCTAAATGCCTGCCTGTGGGGCTCTTTTTAGTCCATAATTTTAACAGACTTTTAGAAGGTATGTTGATAAGAATTGTGAATGTCATAGACTTAGCAGTTGTAGCTAAAATAAGTTTACTTGAGACTTATTGTCCAACTGAAAGGTGACTGATAATCTTCCAAACTAGTAAGTTATTGTGTAAAAAAGAATCCTGTGAATGGGTGAAGCAATTAAGAATGTTTAGCCTGAAGTAGAGAAGACTGAGGGGAAAATGTTAGACGTTTTCAAACACTGTAGTTGAAGTAGTCTTCAAATGCTTAATTGCTCCTACAGAATGCAAATTTAGGAACTTTATTTGAAAGTCATGTTGAAATTGGAATTTGGGGTGCCTTACGATATCACCATATGCTTATTAATAAATTCCCAGTATTAATAAGCCCGTGTGGGTTCTTGCCTAATATTCAGAGAAGAATTCTGAATACCGGCATAAATGAACAAGGCAGCGTGGTACATTTTTAAACTTTTATTCAATGACAGAAATGCATAGGAGAGTGAGGGCCCTATCTATAGGAGAGAGGTAAATCTGGGTTCACACCGAGTACCAGGAACCAGCCACGTGGAGGAGCATATATAGGCCAGGAAGCATGGGGCAGGGTGGCCCGAAGACCGTGCACCTTGGAGGCACAGGACTGCAGCCAGTCCCGTACTGGCAAAAGGCCAAGGGAAGGAAGGGGCGGGCACACTGTGTCCCAGGCTTTTAATCCACTTCCAAAAGGGAGTGGTTAATTAACCTGATTGGCTGGTGGGTGCACAGGTGTGGTCAGGTAGAGGCATGAGGTCACACAGGGGCGTGGTGAAGGCATGGTCTTGCAGCTCACAAACCTAATCAGTTTTAACCTGTATGCCTGCCTACAACAATGTTGAAATCATGTTTAGTGCTCACTAGAGGAAAATGAAGATTTGTCAGGGATGTTGTAAATGATATTTATAGATAGGAAGTTGTTGGATAGGAGACTGATTTTAATTTATTTATTTTAAAGATCTGTTTATTTACTTGAAAGAGTTACATAGAGAAGGAGAGGCAGAGAGAGAGAGGTCTTCCATCTGCTGGTTCACTCCCCAGATGACCACAATGGCTGGAGCTGCGCTGATCCGAAGCCAGGAGCTTCTTCCGGGTCTCCCACGTGGGTGCAGGGGCCCAAAGACTTGGGCCATCTTGCACTGCTTTTCCAGGCCATAGCAGAGAACTGGATCAGAAGTGGAGCAGCCAGGACTAGAACTGGCGCTCATATGGGATGCTGGCACTGCAGGCGGCAGCCTTACCTGCTATGCCACAGCACTGGCCACATGAAAGAGAATATCTCTAATCAAAGTTCCTTCTGACTTTAGCATGAACACATAGATAACACAATCCATGAAGAAGAAATTGAAAACTAAATGGTAATATTTTCAGATTGAATATTCACTGAGGATACCAGAGTGAGCCACAAGTAAAAATTTGTTTCATTTCCCTGTAGAGTAGGAGGGTGAGAATAAAAATGTTGTCAGAAAATATTTGTTGTCTCTGTTACTGTTGGGTTGTTCTTAGGAAATACTCAGTCACTTTCTGCTGTTGTGAAATCAACCCTCAAATAACCAGGGCCAAGCAAAGGAATTTGACCATTTACTTTAAATCCAGTAGGATTAATAGAATTCCTATAGGCTGTTACTTGAATGAAACATCGGTAGCTCTAAAAATCTAACTTCATTAACTGGTAAAACAATGGTATGTCAATAAACTTCCTGAATTCAGGGGTACCCTAGTGTGGGGCCATCCTAACTTTGAATGGTTTTTGTTTTCTTTAGTGGTTACCCTGGCTGTCCTTACCCACCTGGGGGTCCATATCCTGCCACAACAAGTTCTCAGTACCCCTCGCAGCCTCCTGTGACCACGGTTGGTGAGTAACTGAAAACTTCTATTTCTCCACATAGGCAGAGCCTCCTGTTGTGAAAAGTGCATTTCACTTTTACATGTGATGTTTTAGAATACACTTCCTAGTGGTCAATGGCCTATCATCCAAAACTTACAGTAAGTGATGTGTCATATAAATGACCCTTCCACCAAGGCGTAAAAAGAAATCAGACACATAACATTTGCCTGTTTGTCACACAGCTTTATTGGTAAACCTTAAATGTGTTGAACTATTAGCAGATACTTGGGTTTTCCTAGGCATGGCTATGTATAAAAACAGATGAGTATCTTCAGGTGAAGAAAGCACTATGGGTTAATATGGGTGGGGCAAGTAAGTCAAGTTATTGTAGACCAGTCGTTGCCAGAAATAGTTTTCTTCGACTGAGAAAATTACAGTAATGAGAGAACTTCTATAGATTCCCACTCCAATGTGTGCCTCCCTGACACCACCACCTATGCCTCCTCTCCCTGTGACCTTAACTCGTTTATGTTTGGTTCGATCTAAAGCTGATTCCTCCTCAAAACCTCTCCCCTCTGTCTTATTTAGGGGCATTGCTTCAGCAGTTCTTCCCCTTTGTTAATTTTTGTTCTCTGTTGGATCACCTGATCAGCACACCAAATGTGTCATAAAATCATCTTGAAGAATCCTCAACTCCACTCTCTCTGCCACTGTTCATTCCTTCCTTCCCTTTTGTGGTAAAACTCCTTGAAAGAACTGTCTGCTCTTGTTAGCTCAGCCTCTCTGTATTCGTCGGCTTTTCCTTATCATAACAAAATACCTGAGGCAGTCTGCTCATGAAAAAAAGTTTCTTTAGCTTAGTTGTCAGTTCTTGTCTGGTGAAGTCCTCTGAGGTGCATCACATCATGATGGATGACAGTGGTGGAAGCACAGTGTTTGGAAGGGGCCAGGCTTAGGCATTTATAATGACCCTCTCAGAGCAGGTGTTTGGCACGGCAGTTTTGTTTTTGTTTTGTTTTGTTTTGTTTTTTAATTAAAATTTTTTTGGTAAAGATTTATTTATTTGAAAGGCAGAGTTACAGAGAGGCAGAGGCAGAGAGAGACAGGGGAAGAGAGAGAGAGAAAGAGAAAGAGAGATGTATCTTCCATCCACTGGTTCACTCCCCAATTGGCCTCAACGGCTGGAGCTGCACTGATACAAAGCCAGGAACCAGGAGTTTCTTCCGGGTATCCCACACGGGTGTAGGGTCCCAAGCACTTGAGCCATCTTCTGCTTTCCCAGGCCATAGCAGAGAACTGGATTGGAAGGGGAGTAGTTGAGACTAGAACTGGCACCCATATGGGATGCTGGTGCCACAGGCAGAGGATTAACCTACTGCACCACAGTGCTGGCCCCTCTACCTTTTTTAAAAAAAGATTTATTCACTTATTTGCGGCATCCTGGTGGGATGCCAGCACTGCAGGAGGCAGGTTTACCTGCTGTGCAGCAGCACCGACCCCAACCCTGGCACAGCTGTTTTGATGCCACCAGAGACATCTGCATCCCATGTTGGAGTGCCTGGTTCAAATCCCAGCTCCTCCACTTCTGATCCAGCTTCCTGTTAATGCTCACTCAGGGAGGTAGCAGGTTTTGATTCAAGTACTTGGGTTTCTGCCACCCATGCGGGAGACCCAGATTGAGTTCTGGACTCCTGGCTTGAGCCTGGCCCACCCTTGGGTGTTTGTGGTTACTTGGGGAGTGAGTGAGTAGATGATAGATCTCCATGTCTGCCTTTCAAATAAAGTGAAAAGAAATTTAAAAAAAAAAAAAAAAAAACACTGTTGCAAGAACTACCAAGGGATACATGAGAAATCTCTTACCCCTAAGGACTTCCCAGTAGCCCTTACCTCTTAAAGGTTCTACTCTCATCTCATTTTGTAGCTTTTTGGTAACTTAGTTTCCTCCCTAACCAGACTGAATACCAACCCATCATAAGATCCGGAGCTCATCAGAGAATTGACTAAGCAGTGAATTTAGCATTGCATAATGACAGTATGTGGCCTGTTTATTTTCAGAAAGTATAAACTTCCTTTTTTTTTTTTTTTTTTTTTTTTTTAAGATTTGCTTATTTATTTGAAAGGCAGAGTTAAGAGACGGAGAGGGGTCTTCCATCTGCTGGTTCACTTCCCAGTTGGCCACAACAGCCGGATCTGTGCCCTTCTGAAGCCAGGAGCTTCTTCCAGGTCTTCCATGGAGGTGCAGGGGCCCAAGGACTTGGGCCATCTTGTACTGCTTTACCAGGCCATAGCAGAGAGCTGCATCAGAAGTGGAGCAGCCAGGACTTGAACTGGCGCCCATATGTAATGCTGGCACTGCAGGTGGTGGCTTTACCCACTGTGCTACAGCACCAGCCCTGGCTATAATCATTTTAAAAATAAAAACCAACCACAAACATGAGGCAATAACCGTAGATTTTACCCCATCCCTTATTTCCTGAAAAGCCTTTATTATTGTTGCTATAAATAAATGCCCAAGACTCACTCAGGGTCCATGGGGGATTGTCCAGGCCTTCATCCCTCTGCTAAGACTTGTGATGGCTTTCTTTAGACCTTTTCTTATTTATCGTGGTTATAGGAACTTTCTAGAACTTAAGCAAAGAGCACTACTTTGATAGTGTTTACAATAAATTGAGGTTACTGATTATTTTGGGAGAAAAGTTCTGTAACCTGCACAGAGGCTGCAGTACTGTTAGTGCTTACATATTTGTAGACTATACACCAAAGCCTTCTGTAAGCCGCAGAATGAAGTTTCTAGGTATACAATTAATCACTCCTACCCGAGTGCGGATTCTGTTGCTCACATCATTGTTTGAAATGTCTTTCCTACTTTAGAGATCAGAAATCAACCTGGTTTTTGTTTTTATTCTCAAAGGAAATAACCTTCACATGGACTTCACCTCTGAGTAGATGTTCAGTAAGTTACTGTTTGGGATTACCTGGAGTAGTTCCTCCTTATCCACAGTTTGAGTTACCTGCAGTCAACTCCAAAAATACATATATGTGCCTTGACTTTCAAGGAAGATCATGTTTACTTTTATGGTCCGCTGCTATAATTAGCTATATTGCTAATCATCTGTCTAATTGATAAATGTATCATAAATATGGATGTATAGGAAAAACATATAGGGTCACCACCATCCGCAGTTTTAGACGTGCACTGGCAATCTTGGAACATATGCCCCATGGAGCAGGAGAGACAAGCACAAACGCCAGACCAGAGACTGGTACAGGGACCTGAGCAAGTAAACGTTCTAGATAAATGATTCATTTTTGCTGGTGAAGGGTGAGATCAGAAAAGTTACTTTTTAGTTATATTTTACTTTGGGGTTATCATGGATTCTCTAATATAAAATAACTCCTCTTTGAGCTATGGGAAGTGAACATCAGTAAATACTGTTAGGAAATAAATGAAACTTGATATTTTAAGTGTTTAAAGATACCAATATGATTATTAACTGAGTTATCAGATCCATTGGTTAGAGTGTTAGTTTCCTAATACTAAAAAATAACATCATCTTTCCTATGGATTAAGACTGGTGATATGGCACTGGTATTGTGATGTAGAGGGCAAAGCCACCGCCTGCAGCACCAGCATCCTATGTGGGTGCCAGTTAATGTCCTGGTTGCTCCACTTGCAATCCAACTCCCTGCTAATGGCCTGGGAAAAGCAGCGGAGGATGGCCTAAGTGTGTGGGCCCCTACAACACACAAGGGAGACTCAGATGAAGCTCCTGGCTCCTGACTTTGGCCTGGCCCAGTGCTGACCATTGCAGCCATCTGGGAAGTGAACTAGTAGATGGAAGATCTCTCTCTTCCGTCACGCCCTCTAACTCTTTCAAATAAATCAGTCAGTCTTAAAAAAAAATAGATTGGTGATCCATCCATCTTACCTGACATTTAGAGGAGGTTTTGCTTAGGTTTGTTTCTGTGTTATTTCAGTAGCTAATTTGGAATTAAATGGACACCTCTGAAATCTGACTCCTTGGGTAAAGGTCAGTGTGGGTGGATAACAGGTATGGCAGTGTGCCATGCTCTTCTCATCCAAGCCTTGTTTAGCCCATGAGGAAAATATTAAAAACTTCTCATAAGATGTTTGAGGGAGAAAAAATCTGAATAGTGATTGAGAAGTAGATGACACTCTCCCATCAGATATTTTTTTCTTGTTTATACATAAGCAATCTCCAGCTCTTATCACATTTTGAACTTTAATGGGTTTTTATTTTTCTGATTTTGAAAATCGCTGGCATGTTTTTACTCTTAGTTCACATCTTTATTACAGTTCTTTTCAGAAAGTTATAGGATTTAAAATAAGCTTAGATGGACTTTATAATCAGGTTTGCATGTGAAGGAGGTAGCAGTGGGTCTGATCTTGGCATTTCTAGCCACCTCATGTGAACTCTGCCATTTGTAGGCCAGGCAACTGCTGCCTGTCTTGGTTCCCATCTTAAATGTTAATCGCTGTGCCTGGAGAGTCTTAGGAAGGACATACTTGGTGCTATATGGTAGCATTTGCCTTAACATATTTTATAAGGGAAACAATATAAATGCTGGGATTTAAGTGTTTATTTTTAAAATTAATGATTAGAAGATTAAGCATCCGTATAACTTGATCCATCAGGCCATACATAATAAGTTGTGTGTGAAAAGTCCAAATTAGTTAGGAAGAGACCCTTAAGCCTTTATGAATTCAGGTAAGTGGAATACTATCTCAGCATGCTATTAACCACACATTTGAACACATAATCCTACTCCTGGCATTTGGATACTGATCTCTAGAAGGATGTCTTTCCTCAGGAAAACCATTAACAAATTTCAGATTGGTTATAATAAGTGCGTTAACAAATTTTTAAATTCCATTGCTAATGTGTTACTCTAAAATGGGGACTTAACAAGATAGCATCTTTATTAGTCATTTCATAAATCACTGGGCACAGAATTTTAAATTATACTTTGTGAAAATGAGCTTTTAAGAATTTGAAAGACAGATCTTCCATCTGTCTCTCTTCCATCTGGTTCACTCCCAGGTGGCTGCAACAGCCAGGGTTGAGCCAGGCTGAAGCCAGGAGCTTCATCCAGGTCTCCCACTGGGTGGCAGAGGCCAGACACTTGGGCCATCTTCTGCTGCTTTCCCCAGGCCATTAGCAAGGAGCTGAATCAGAATCAGAGTTGCTGGGACACGAACTGGCACCCATATGAGATGCTGGAAGTCAACCTTTTTTCTTTCTTTTGCTGTCTTTCAAGGACTTCAGTAGTGCAGTATTAAGAGATTTTTATTTTGGCCAAATTTGTCCAAAGGATCAAACAGACAAGTCTCAGTCATAATGAGCCTGTGAAAGTATCTCGTAAAATAGAGCTCTGTGATTTACTTCATTCTGTATGGTTAGCAGATGAGTAAAGATGTGTTACTTTTCACACATCCTCATTTAAAGAATGAGTTTCTGTGCAAATTGCCATGAATGACAAGCCCAGCCTCACTTCTAATCACCAGATGCAAGTTTAGAGGGTTCCCAAGACCACCCTCAGATTCTGTAATGATCAAGACAGACTTCGAGAACTTACTGAAAGCTTTGTACTCACAGTTAGGGCTTACTACAGCAAAAGAATACAGATTGAAATCAGATAAGGAATGAGGGATTAGGGATTAGGAGGATGCAAGTTCAGAGCTTCTAGTTATCTTCTCCCAGAGTGAGTTTGTGAACACTGTCAACTCTTCCCAGCAGTGATGTGCGTGTTGCACAGAGTATTGCCAACTAAGGAAGAGCATGTTGCGGGCTGGTCATACAGTTATGGTGACTGCCCATGTGGCCGACCTTTAGGACTGCCAGAGATTGCCCTAAACATGGACAAAATCTAGACCTGTACTTAAGGTAGAGTTAATTCTTGACTGCACAGAACCAAATCTGGGAAGTATTTTGTTTTGAAATTAAGAAAACTCAAAGAACAAAAGATATGCCAAAATTTCCTGCCTGATACTGTAATGTAATATGTGAAAGATAACACTGGCTGTTAGAGAAGATATAATTTTATTTGAAAGGCAGTCAGAGAAGGTCTTCCATCCATCTATTGGTTCACTCCACAAATGGCCTCAATGGTCAGGGGAGGGCCAAGCTAAAGCCAGGAGCCAAGAGCTTCTGGGTCTTCCACATGGGTACATGGGCCCATGCACTTGGGCCATCTTCTGTTGCTTTCCCAGGCTCATTAGCAGGGAGCTGATCAGAAGTGGAGCAGCTGGGACTCAAACCAGTGCCTGTATGGGATGCCTGCACTGCAGACAGTGGCTTAACCTGCTACACCACAATGCTGGCCCCAAAGAAGATGTAATACGTAGTCCAACTTGTATTGTTTCATTAAAACAGTCTCAAAATGTATTGTATTTTTATAAATCAGTTTAGACCTCTTTGGCATTCTTGTTCCAAAGAAAACAATGGAAAGCCCTCACTGTACTTTCTTCTGTGATGATGTTCCAAGGATCCTGCCTCCGTAGGAAGATGGTGATCCAGAAGGGATGGGAAGGATTGAGGTTTGTATTGTGGCAGATGAAGCCTCTGGAGTTGGAAGTCCTGGGGATCTGGCAGGATATGAATCAGGCTGCATTGGCCGGGAGACTGTCCGCAGAGATACACCAGCTGGCTGAGGGAGAGGCTAGGGGAGGTGCTCACTGCGAACGGGGTGGTAGAGAGATCACAAGCACCAGGAGGCGTGAGGGGGGGAGGAGTGGAGGAATCCAGTGAGGCTGTTGGTGTCTGACCTGTAAGGAAAGAGAATGAATGCCAGAGGAAACTAGCGTCAGAGGGGGCAGTGAGGTTAGAGCTGATGGCAGTGGCTGGTAAAGTGATGAAAACGCTTTGGAAGTTAGGTACTAAGCTGGGTGTATATCCTCGGGGAAATGTGATCACCCTCTAGCTCTGCAGCTCTGAAACCAGATTCCAGGCTGCCTGAAAGAACTAACACTTCCATTTCTCAAATGTGAATAAAGTGAAATACCTTTGTAAAATCAGAAGTAAATTCTGACAAAGTATATACTATATGAATGTGTATATTTATTTATTTTTATTTTTGACAGGCAGAGTGGATAGAGAGAAAGAGAGAAAGGTCTTCCTTTTGCCGTTGGTTCACCCTCCAATGGCCGCCACGGCTGGTGCGCTGCAGCCAGTGCACCGCACTGATCCAAAGCCAGGAGCCAGGTGCTTCTCCTGGTCTCCCATGGGGTGCAGGGCCCAAGCACCTGGGCCATCCTCCACTGCACTCCCTGGCCACAGCAGAGAGCTGGCCTGGAAGAGGGGCAACCGGGACAGAATCCAGCGCCCCGACCGGGACTAGAACCCAGTGTGCCGGCGCCGCAGGTGGAGGATTAGCCTATTGAGCCGCAGCGCTGGCCTACTGCATGGATCTCTTATAGAGACAGAGTACCTTGGCACCAGGGAGAAGTTTGGAGTGGGTGGGACAGGAGTGGTGAGAGTTTGAGCATATTTTTGCAAACAAACTAAAGGTATTTCCCTAATGAGTGGAACTCGCATCAATTGGTAAAAATTTTCAGTTTACGTAGAAATAACTTATTAGTCTGCACATGGTATTCACTAACCAGACATAGTTGATAAGTTTATCAATGTATGCATCTTATACATTTGCTGATTTAGGACCATAACTAATCAATGTTGACAGACATAAAGAGATGTATACTTTTGTTAAAGAGAATTACTTTTTGAGTATCTGAGAAGTCAGTTCATTGAAGTGTGCAAGAAAATTACCTAAGATGCTGACTAGAAAGACATTTGAAAGAATAATTAAAAGTTTTTCAGCTGTTGAGTGTTTTAGATGTCATTCTCTTGCTCATCTGTTCTATCCTGTTCTTTTGTTAAGCAGTAAAGGAAAAGAGGAGCCTTGTTAACCTGCATATTGCTTTAGGGAGAATGCCTATTCTGGTCTTTGTCCTGTCTCAGCTTAGCAGTGGAGCTTGAGAATGATTTGATTTGAATCAAATATTGTCCCTTGGTTATCACATTGTCCCATTTGCTGGAGACTAATAATCTATAGAGGCAAAGTTCTACCTCATTAAGACAGTAGCAGATTGTTTAGGTTATACATAAGGAAAGCAGGTAAATACAGAATACTAGTAATTATTTTAAGATTTATTTATTTGAAAGGCAAAGTTACACACAGAGAAAGAAGTCTTCCATCCACTGGTTCACTCCCCAGAAGACCACAACGGCTGGAGCTGTGTGAATCCGAAGCCAGGAACAACTTCTGGGTCTCCCACACAGGTGCAGGGGCCCAAGGACTTGGGCCATCTCTACTGCTTTCCCAAGCCATAGCAAAGAGCTGGATCAGAAGTGGAGCAGCTGGGACTCAAACCAGTGCCAATATAGGATGCCAGCATTGCAGGCGCCGGCCCCACTAGTAATTCTCTAGCAGGGTGGGTGTTGTGGTGCAGCTGGTTGAGCCACTGCTAGGGATACCCACATCCCACATCGGGGGTGCCTGGGATCAAGTACCACCTCTGGTTCCAATCTCCAGTTCACCTGCGAGGCAGCAGAGAATGGCCTAAATACTTGGCCAAGCCAAGTGGGAGACCCAGATGGAGTTCCTGGCTCCTGACTTTCACCTGGCCTTTCCTTGGCTCTTGCAGGCATTTGAGGATTGAACTTCAACCAGCAGGTGGAAGTGCTCATTCTCTCTCCCTTCCCCCCAAATAAATGCTTTAAAAAAAAAAAAAAAAAAAGTAATCCCTTCTAAGGAAAGTAGTTCTGAATCAACTGGAATTTGTTTGATGCAGTTGTGACATTTACATTTTTTTCCTCCCATTTTGAAAGCATTAGCTTGTATGTTGTCCTGTGTTCAAAGATTCCTGTGAGACACACAGAGGTTAGGAAGCAAGCAATGAGTTGTGCCTCTGTCTCCTGCAGGCCCTAGCAGGGATGGCACAATCAGCGAGGACACCATCCGAGCCTCTCTCATCTCAGCGGTCAGTGACAAGCTGAGATGGCGGATGAAAGAAGAGATGGATCGCGCCCAGGCAGAGCTCAATGCTCTGAAAAGAACAGAGGAAGATCTGAAAAAAGGCCACCAGAAACTGGAAGAGATGGTTACCCGCTTAGATCAAGAAGTTGTAAGTAACTCATCAAAGATTTCCGACTTTTGGATCGAACTATAGCCATGACACAGTGTTCTATATGTACCCTGGGTGTTGTGGGTATAAGTAAGGATTCAGAAGATTTAACATAGATTGGACTTCTTTTAATATAACTTCTCTATACCATTGTTAGAAATGGAGCCCAAGTTTGGCATTTGAGAAGTGAGTGATAAGCTTTAACACTTTTTGCTTGCACATATTTACCCTTAGGCAATATTATTTTAACCCAAAGAAGGACTATTTGAATGCTTGATGTTACCAGGAAATACAAATTTCAGAAAATTTTTAGACTTTTTAATTTGAAAGGCAGAGTTATGGGACCACATGGAAGGTTCAAGTTTCTGTTGGCAGGATCTGCATCTTACATGACACCAATTCAAGTCCTGGCTGCTCCACTTCCCATCCAGCTCTCCATTATGGCCTAGGAAAGCAGTGGAAGATGGTCCAAGTCCCTAGGCCCCTCTCTCACGTAGGGGTCACCACACAGACCCTGGGAGCCAGGTGAAAGCAGGCCAGAGGCGAGCAGCCTGCAGAATCATTTATTTCAGTTGGTACAGCTCATATAGCCAAGGCAGCCAATCCGGTCAAGGGGTGGTCTGTGCCCTAACCAATCACGGCCTGTTGCCAGGCAGTTTCTGTTGCCAGCGGCCATTTTGGCATGGCCTTCTCATTTTACCACACCCCTGCACCCACATGAGAGACCCGGAAGAAGCTCCTGGCTCTGGCCATTGTGGCCACCTGGGGAGAGAACCAGCAGATGGAAGTTTGCTCTCTATCTCTGCCTTTCAAATAAAAAATTTTTAAAAAGAATATGAAAGGGTTAGAGAGAGAGACTGACCTCCCATCTGCTGGTTCACTCACAAATTGCTGTAATGGCCAGAGCTGGGTCAGGCTGAAACCAGGAGCTTCTTCCAGGTCTCCCATGTGGGTGCAGGAGCCCAAGCAGCTGGGCCATCTTCCACTGCTTTCCCAGGCCATTGGCAGGGAGTTGGATCAGAAGTGGAGCAGCGGGCCTTCCCTGGCCCTCTGTTCAAGCTATTTTTAAAAGTATCTGCCTCAAACCTTCTAACTTGATTAAGAGCCTCATATAAACATTGTATATGCAACCTTTGCTGTGTAAGCTTTCCTGTGTTTATAGCACACTGCTATTTGGAGAGTCAGTATGCAAGTCAGCCCTGCAGCTTCGCTTACTGATGAAATAGAGGCACTAGCATAATTTATACCAGCCTCATGCCACACTTTTCAACCCCATGAGGGAGAATTTCAGTACATTTTTTAAAAGATTTATTTATTTGAAAGAGTTACAGAGAGAGGTCTTCCATCTGCTGGTTCACTCCCTAGATGGCTGCAATGGCCAGAGCTGTGCCAATCCAAAGCCAGGAGCTTTTTCTGGGTCTCCCACACAGGTGCAGGGGCCCAAGGACTTGGGCCATCTTCTGCTTTCCCAGGCCATAGCAGAGAGCTGGATCAGAAGTGGAGCAGCCGGGACTCAAACCGGTGCCCATATGGGATGCTGGCACTTCAGGCCAGGGCTTTAACCTGCTGTACCACAGCACCGGCCCCAGTAAATTCTTTTTAAGGTTTGATTGATTTAAAAGGCAGAGTTGGGGGGAGGGGGGCTAGCGTTATGGTGTAGCAGGTTAAGTTGTCGCCCACAATACTGACATCCCATATGGGTGTCAGTTCGAGTCTGGGCTGCTCTGCTTCCCACCCAGCTCCCTGCTAATGTGCCTGGCTCAAGCGTTTCAGGACCCCTGCACCCACATGGAAGACCCAGAAGAGGCTCTTGGCATTTGGGGAGTGAACTAGTGGATGTAAACTCTCTCAAATTCTGCCTTTCAAATAAATAAAATCTAGAAGACCTTCCATCCTCTGGTTCACTCTCCCAAATGGCCACACAGCTGGTACAGGTCTAACCAAAAATAGTAGCTCCATGTGGGTCTCGCACATAGGTGGTAGGGGTCCACACACTCAGACCATCTGCTGCTGCTTTCCCAGGTGCGTGAGCAGGAAGCTGGTTTCTAACTGGTACACCAACTCAAGAAACTGCTGTTGGCAGGTGGTATCTTAATCCACTGCCCCCAATACCAGCTCCAGTGTCTATCTTTGATAAAAGCATAAAGGTTAGGGCCGGCTGGCACTGTGGCGTAGCAGGTAAGGCTGCCATCTGCAATGCTGGCATCCCATATGGGCACTGGTTTGAGTCCCGGCTGCTCCACTTCCGATCTAGCTCTCAGCTATGGCCTGGGGGAGCAGAATGTGGCCCAAGTCCTTGGACCCCTGCACTCATGTGGAAAGACCTGGAGGAAGCTCCTGGCTTCGGATCAACACAGCCCCAGCCATTGCGGCCAGTCGGGGAGTGAACCAGCGGATGAAGACCTCGCTCTGTGCCTCTGCCTCTCTGTAACTCTGCCTTTCAAATAAATAAATCTTAAAAAAAAATTAAAATAAAGGGTTAAAGTTCAAGGGCTTTGAGAAAGTGATTTGTATGTACATATAGTGCCTGTACATAAAAGTTCTAGTATGTAAACAGCTCAACAGCCAGCTGTTTTCAGAATTTTAGGAAAGGGATACCACAGGTCACCACCCACAGTATTTTGTCACTACAGTGAAGTGCTGGGAGCTCTGTACACTGACTCCTCTGCACTGACTGGGGGAAGCTACTCCTCTGTGGCAAATGCCCACTTTGGAGGAAAAACCTCTTTTCGAATGTTCTATGTAGAGAGGAATGTCCTGATGGCTCGGAGTGCTCAGCTCAGGGTGATTCCATGTTTCAGGCAACATTAGGTCACACCCTCCCTCTACCGTGAACCACTGTGTTACTGGAGACATTAACCTCATCCTGAGTTGTTTATACTGATGTACACATGAAGCAGTGTTTAAAGTCATCATACTTGGACTGTTCTGTTTTCAGGCTGAGGTTGATAAAAACATAGAACTTTTGAAAAAGAAGGATGAAGAACTCAGTTCTGCTCTGGAGAAAATGGAAAATCAATCTGAAAACAATGATATTGATGAAGTTATCATTCCCACAGCCCCACTATACAAACAGATCCTAAATCTGTACGCAGAGGAAAATGCAATTGAAGACACTATCTTTTACCTGGGAGAAGCCTTGAGGCGAGGAGTGATAGACCTGGATGTCTTCCTGAAGGTACGTCCTCCTCGCTCTGCTTTCCAGGATGTGGAACTCGGGTTCTAGGGGCCCCGATTTTGAGAAGCACAAACCAGAGAGGCTTCTCCGTGGGGTGGGTTTAGAGCCCTCACCTACCGAAAGAGAACATGTGGCGAGTATGGCTGGGAGCAGTGCTATGGGTCAGTCTGAGTGGGAGAAGTAGGCTGGTGGCTGCGTTGCTCCCCACCCCACTACTACCAGGCAGCATCAAGGTAAACATCATTTTTCTCTTGACTCCTGTGCCTGGGTAGATCAGGAAGAAGTGCAAGTCAGATCCCTTGGTTCACTGAGGTCATCCCACCCCCAGTTTTTGGATTTCCCCAAAATCCAATCAACCCTTCAACATGGTAGACAATCCTTTCAAATTGAAGGTTCTCTCAAGCTCAGTGCTGTTGTACAGACATGAATATCTATTAAGCCAAATGTAGTTATTGCTGTCTGTTGGCTGATGGAGAACATGGTTTTAGAAATAGTAGCTACTCTGGTTATTTAACCCAGCTGCCCTTGGCACCTCAGAATTCATGCAAGGCTGATCAGATCACTTGCTGGTCTTGCCTAGCTCATCTGTCTCCCTGGGGTTGGGTGGCCAGCCCCTCTTCTTGGACCTGATGCAAGCACATAAATGATGAGGCATAAAGCAGAGACCCAGAGAAGCATCTCTGTACACTGGCTCCTGCGTGGGTGGCATCGCCTAAAGGATGCGCAGGAAGAGGCAGGCTGTGGACTAGGGACAAAAGCTGTCCTTCCCCCTCTTCTAGCCCAGTGGAGACCGTCATAGCTGTGCATGCTATTTGGGAATTTTTATTTCCTGGCATCTTGTTTGCCTCAAGGTGTAGGCCAGATCCTGCAGTAGTAAGGTGTAGGACGACCCACCTCTAACACCTTCTGCTAGCATCAGTGTGTGTGTGTTGGGGGGGGGGGGGTTGACAAAAGTTCTGTGTAAAGAGCTGTTGCTTCCAAGTGAAGCCTGAAGCTGCCTGCGTTATAACTGTTTGCTGCTTCCTGCCCGATTTGGGTCAGAGCCATTCTAAACTACTGCAACTTCTTCCCCTCCCAGCACGTACGGCTCCTGTCCCGTAAACAGTTCCAGCTGAGGGCACTAATGCAAAAAGCAAGAAAGACTGCCGGTCTCAGTGACCTGTACTGACTTCTGATACCAGCTGGAGAGCGCTCTTCCTAAGACATTCTTTTCTTCTCTTCCTTTCTCTTATCGGTAGGTGCCCGAAATAAGTTATTGCAGTTTATCATTCAAGTGTAAAATATTTTGAATCAATAATATATTTTCTGTTTTCTTTTGGTAAAGACTGGCTTTTATTAATGCACTTTCTATCCTCTGTAAACTTTTTGTGCTGAATGTTGGGACTGACCATGCTAAATAAAACTTGTTGCATAATTTTTCTTCTTTATTGATCATGGAACCTTAAGAAGCCCAGCTTTTCACTTAGAGTACAACTTGTATTATAAAGTGCAGTTTAGTATTCTATAGAACACAAAGTGAATTCTACTTACCATGGGATATGCCACCTAGAAATGTAGAGGTAAATATTTTAAATTGAACAAGTTGAGTGACCTTTTCCCGAGGAAGGCCCAGGGTAGAGACCTCCTCCAGGCCTGACGCAATGGTTACTACTTTCATCAAGTAGGAAGGAGCACTGTAGCAGGTACCTTGCCACACACCTGAGAATTTTAGGCGAGACAGCCTGGCCATGATTGCGGACAGAACCGCGTACCTGCTTCTTACTGCCAGTGGAAGTTCCATCTTCAAGATGAGGGACCTTGTAGGCAAGTGAGCTCGTCTGGAAGTTCTCTATCAGAATCTAGAAGGCTGACAAGGTTACAGAGAAAAAGGGCAACCAGCACAAACAACTCAGCCTCCATTCTTGGAAAAGTAAAACCAGCAAGGTTTTATTTAGTGTTAGTGTAAAAAAAAAAGGTAAGTTTTAATACTGTAGAGGAAGTTACTTTTAATAGCATGTAAATGAACATAAGTATACAATATTCTACTGGTCAAAATAATTACCATGTTACTAATGAAAACCAAATTTCTGTAACACAAACATTTTTTTTGGCTATATCGTGTCTCTCCCATTATATGTAAATGAGGTCTTTTAAAAAGTTCATGGAAAATGCATATTATGCAAACACCACATGGATTTCCAAATTTTGCACCAAAATAAACTTAATTCTGTTTTCCATGAACTTTTTGAAGTACCTGCATGTATACACACATGCATACAAGTATTGCTACAGTAGAGGTACTGAGAGCAGTGCCCATGATGTAGTCATGTAGGTATTGCAAGAATGCATCACAGCATCTGGATGCCAGAACCACTGGAGAGGCAGGGGGTGTGGCACACTGGATTAACTTACCTCTGCTCCCCATATCGGGGTGCTGCTTGGAGTCCCAAAAAGCAGCAATGACGACCTGGCTGGAGCCAAGTTTCTGGCTCTTGGCCCAGGCCCAGCCCCTTGCAGCCATTTGGGCAGTGAACCAGCAGATGGAAGATCTGTGTGTGTGGGATTCAAATAAGTAAATCTTTGGAAAGATAACACTGGAGGGATAAGTGCTAGATAGGACAGCCACTGTCCTCCCTTCTATCAGCTTTTTAAATGTTTGCCACACACAGTCCCATAACTGCTACCTTCAGTGTAATATCAGGTGGTGGCTTTAGCATCTGTTGGGGTCCACCATCATTTTCCAATCTTCCTTGCCCTCAAGCCATTTCATACCAAGGAACCACTTAAAAATTCCTTTGACTTTATTCTCAGTGATGTATATTTACATCTTGTTGTAACCTCTCCAAATTCTGATGAGCAGAAGGATCTCACCTTAGGAGACTGCTAGTTTAGTGCTGCTTTGCTCAGTCCCTTCATTGGAAATAACAAACAGTGAGAAACAATTCCAAATATAGCAAGATCTGCCCATGATGTGACCCTAGATACGCTACAGTCTGCCCAGTGATACTGGAGAGTTGCAGAGTTAGTTCATTGTAGGAAAAAAAGAAAACTTTATAGCTAAAATATGAGAAAGGACAAAGGTCTACAAAGATAGGTCTCTTCCTCTCCACCTACTCCCTGTTTAGCAGCAAAGAACGGAATTTGGGAAGAGAGGTGCTTTTACAAGATCAACCCCCAAAATAACCCTCAAAAATGTTACCAGGGCCTGCCTTGGGGACGGTGGCTTAGCCAAGGCTGCCAGCATCCCTTACCACGGTGTTAGTTTGAGTCTTGGCGCTTCTAGAGCTCCCTGCTGACAGGCCTAGGAAAGCAGCAGATGACTCCAGTGCTTGGGTCCCTGCAGGCCTGGATGGAATGCCTGGTGGCTGGTGCAGCCACTGGGGGAGTGGAGCAGCAGATGGAAGATCTCAGTGTCTATCTCTGCCTTTCAAATAAATCTAGCCAGCGCCACAGCTCACTAGGCTAATCCTCCGCCTTGCGGCGCCAGCACACTGGGTTCTAGTCCTGGTTGGGGCGCCGGATTCTGTCCCGGTTGCCCCTCTTCCAGGCCAGCTCTCTGCTGTGGCCTGGGAAGGCAGTGGAGGATGGCCCAAGTGCTTGGGCCCTGCACCCCATGGGAGACCAGGAGAAGCACCTGGCTCTTGGCTTCAGATCAGCGTGATGTGCCGGCCGTGGCGGCCATTGGAGGGTGAACCAACGGCAAAAAGGAAGACCTTTCTGTCTCTCACTGTCCACTGTCTGTCAAAAATAAAATTTTTTTAAATCTTCTAAAAATTTGAAAGTGTGACAGAGATCTTCCATCTACTGGTTTGTTCTCTACATCACTGCAACAGGGTCGGGGCATGCCAGAGCCCTCTCAGGCCTATTGGCAAGGAACTAGGTCAGCAGCAGAGCAGGACCCAAGCTGGCGCTTCAGTACGAGGCTATGGGGTACTGGTGTCTCGCTGCACTGCAACACTTGGCTCCATCAATTTGAAAAAAAAAAAAAATTACCCCTATTTTATGTTAAAGAGTGATTTTTTTCAAACAAGAACATCCTTCCTTATCTACGGTGGAAACTGGATGCACTGTCCTGTCAGCCAGACAGGCTCCCACCCCAAGAAGAGAACTTTTCACTTTAATCTCCGCCACTGCAGAGTCAGTTTGGAAGAAAATATTTGTCATTAAACATCATTTTGTGGCAACCCATCTGAACAGTTGTACCAAACTGAAAGATTTCCATTTCTCCTAGAAATTTCTTACATAAACCAGAGTTAGGAGGGTAAGTTCAGAAACCCAAATAAACTATTAAAAAAACATTGTCGGGGCTGGCGCTGTGGCATAGCTAGTAAAGCCACTGCCTGCAGTGCTGGCATCCCATATGGACGCCGGTTCAAGTCCCGGCTGCTCCACTTCCAATCCAGCTCTGTGTTAAGGCCTGAGAAAGCAGTAGAAGATGGCCCAAGTCCTTGGGCCCCTGCACCCACGTGGGAGACCCAGAGGAAGCTCCTGCCTTCAGATCAGCGCAGCTCTGGCCGTCGCTGTTATCTGGGTAGTGAACCCGCGGATGGAAGACCTCTCTGTTTGCCTCTTTTCTCTGTGTAACTCTTTCATATAAATAAATCTTTAAAAAGTAAAAATTTGTTGGGTCTGGCACCATGGTACCTGCAGTGCAGCATCCCTTATAGGTGCCAGTTCGAGTCCTGGCTGTTGCTCTTCGGATCCAGCTCTCTGCTAACAGCTTGGGAAAGCAGTGGAAGATGGCCCAATTGCTTGGGTCCCTGCACCCACATGGGAGACCCAGAAGCAGCTCTGGGTTTCAGATTGGATTGGCCCAGCTCCAACATTTGTGGCCATTTGGGGAATGAACCAGTGGATGGAAGACTGTCTCCCTCTGTAACTCTGCCTCTCAAGTCTTTAAAAAAGAAGAAAAGGGCCGGCGCCGCGGCTCACTAGGCTAATCCTCCGCCTAGCGGCGCCGGCACACCGGGTTCTAGTCCCGGTCGGGGCGCCGGATTCTGTCCCGGTTGCCCCTCTTCCAGGCCAGCCCTCTGCTGTGGCTAGGGAGTGCAGTGGAGGATGGCCCAGGTGCTTGGGCCCTGCACCCCATGGGAGACCAGGAAAAGCACCTGGCTCCTGGCTCCTGCCATCGGATCAGCGCGGTGCGCCGGCCGCAGCGCGCCGGCCACGGCGGCCATTGGAGGGTGAACCAACGGCAAAGGAAGACCTTTCTCTCTGTCTCTCTCTCTCACTGTCCACTCTGCCTGTCAAAAAAAAAAAATAATAATAATAAAAAAAAAAAAAAAAAAAACATTAGTCAACAAATGAGTCCCTACCATGTACTAAACGCTGCATCAGGCCCAGCAGTAAGACAGAACCAGTCCCTGACTGCTTAAGAACCTGGTTTTTTTTGTTTTTGTTTTTGTTTTTGTTTTTTAAAAAAAGGCAAATCGGAGCAGGCACTTTGCCTCGCTGTTAAGATGCCGTGTTCCACACTAGAGTGGATTCAGTTCCCAGCTCTGGCTCCTGACTCCAGCTTCTTGCTGATGCAGACCCTGGGAGGCAGCAGTGATGGCTGCAGTAATTAGGTAACTGACACCCACGGGGGAGATGGATTGAGCCTCCAGCTTCAGCCCCAGCCATTGTGGGCGTTTAGACAGTGAAGGAGAGTCCAAAGCAAGACCAAAAACCAGGGAAAGTAATAAATCCTCAAGTCCCAAGTCCAGTATCTCCTGCACTCCGCAGTGAGAGTTGGGCCTCGCTGGCTGTACACACGTGGCTGCTCCCTGAGACCGCATACCGCTGCCAGAGCGTTCCTGGGGGTGTGGGGCACACGGCCCTACCTTCCTACCTTCTAGAGTCCCCGCTGGGCGTCCCTTGCCAGGCAGCCTGCCAGGGCTTCAGTGCCTCAGCAAGCCCTGCCTGACCTCTCAACTTTCCTCTGACATTTCCATGTAAACCACCATGACAGCACAGCTCTCATTCTGCACACTTGCAGAATCAGCTCCACACAGATGCCAACACGACCGGGCTGCTGCCAGTATGAGCTGCACCTCAGCCTGCTTCAACCACAGCTGCAGCCTTGGAGCACTCGGGCTGAACGTGCGGAGACAAACTCCGAGACAGTCCTGGGCCCGGGATGGGAGAAGTGCCCAAGATTCCTGAGCGCCCTCAAGGCCTCCAGTCGTCTTGCTTCTTTTTAGCCACATTCACCTCTATAGCAAGCAAGATGGTTGCACACTTGTCTCCCAAACATATTTTGTTTTTTTATTAAAGATTTGCAGCCATTGTGGAAGACAGTATGGAGACAGCCCAGAAATCTGAATACAGATCCACCATACGACCCAGACGTCCCACTTCTGGGAATTTACCTAACAAAATGAAATCTGCATATGAAAGAGTTATGTGTACCCCCATGTTCATTGCAGCTAAATTCACAATAGCTAAGATACGGAA